CAAATATAAACTTAAGTTGATTAAGTCCATCCTTGTTGGATTTTGGTCAGTTGTATGCTGTAAAGTTAAGTCCTGTCATACAAGAGATCTTAACATCCCAAGTTGGGTGTCTCGGACTTGAGGTCAGAGGAATTACTTTACAATACTTCGATAAATAAATCGATCTCAAGGCAAAAAACTTTTTAAATTGACAAATAAACTTAAGTTGTCTAAGTATATCCCTGTAAATCACATTACAATACTTTTTCCAAATTTTTGTAAGATCAGGCTTCAAAACGTTTTGAAAAGACAAAACTTTTAAGTTGACGAAGACCATCCCTGTCGGATTTTGGTCAGTTGCATATTGTAAACTTAAGTCCTGTTTTTTAACGTCCAAAGTTGGGTGTCTTACCTAGGGGGTCAGAATCACTTTACTATACTTTTTCCAATTTTTTCTAAAATCGGGCTTCAAAACGTTTTAAAATGACAAAACTTTTAAGTTGATTAAGTCCATCCTTGTTGGATTTTGGTCAGTTGTATATTGTATCCTGATATACAGGAGGGTTTAACACGTAAGAGGAGTCAGAATCACTTTACAGTACCTGCTTCATATTATTCACAATTAAAAATTCAAGGGCTCTGCCGGGATTCGAACCCAGTACAGTGCGTGGCAATACGAGTCGGGCTCCCAGCCACCCGGTCCTCAAGACTATTAAAACATTGTAAATAACCCAGAGTGGTTATACATTTGTGTATTTATTGCAATTTTAGATTCCACTTTTGTGTGAAAACTTATTTTAGCTGGGTAAAATCGTAGTGGTTCGAGGGAGGCAATGAAAATAAGCTCATTTTTATGGAATTAGTTCGTATAAAAATTTGTTTTCTTTTCCTTTTACAATTTGCATCTAACTCTTAATTCATTCACTTCGAGACAAATATGAGAAAGATCGAAACTATTTAACCACTCTTTAATTAAACTTACTAGATGAAACTTATAGATGGAAAATAAATTCGGGCAAAAATCGAAATAGGGTAGATTTTGTCTCTCTTCGCCCATTCCCTTTCTGCACATTTGATTTTTTAATTTTCAAAAATTTAGAAGCTAGTTTCGCAATGGTAGATGTGCCCAAGGGTTTTAGAAGGGGGAAATAAAAGAGGACAACCCTCCCCGTAGACCCCTTCTCCCGTCGTATGTAAATCTGTGAGGTTGACCTAATCGCAGTTCCCACGGATTTAAGCCCCTCCCTTTCGCCATCCTTTTCACCCCTACATCTATAGTCAGTCATTTATTCATTTATATCAATGAAATTATTAATGTTTTTTCTACCTCCGCGAATTATTTTCTACCTCGCGATTCTCGCTTATTTATACACTGTTTGAAGTTGAATTCACTGTTCTAGTCATTCGAGGTTGTGTAGTCAATTTCACCCCTTTTGAATTTTAATTGGTTTTCCATTTTTTATTCATTTTAATTTCTACTACATATAATAATTATTAATCTGAAGCTATTTCACCACGCTAAATAATTAAATCTTGAATAGAAGGATCTGTCTCATTCTTTTGTAACCTATTAAAACTAAACAAATGAAGAGTATTTAAATGATAAAATATATCAATTTTAACTTCAAAAATTTCTGAACTCTACGATAACATTTTCCTCGCTAAATTGATTTCGTAGTAATTGGTGTAATAGCAATTGGTTAAGGTAGAATCTTCTTCGTCTCATACTTGGATGCTTCTGGCGTGCCTCAAGGCTCCCACCTTGGTCCCTTTTTATTTCTTTCCGATTATTTGCCGATTTATTAATTTCTAATTCAAAACTAGTTGCCTATCGATTCCCCCTTGACTAATTAGTCCAAGGCAATAATAAACTTATTATAAAAATAAATTATCTCTTTAATTTTTCAAAATGCCTCGTTATGACTTTTGTCAACAAATGCGGGATTATTTTGAATCATATTAGAAATAATTTTTTCCTAATTTGAGGTTTTACACAGAAGTTTCTAATTTTTGAACATAAACTCAATAACCATAATATTGTTCCTTGGGTCTAGTCCTTCTATTGCTTAACTTTAATTTATTATATAGATACTTATATTTTAATCTTTAGGTTATAAGCATAAAGAATGATGAAAAAATAGTTAAATTGATAGATAAACAAGGGTACAACTAGGGATGAAGAGGAAGAATAAGAGAAAGAGAGGGGGAGAGGGAGAGGGAGAGAGAGAGAGAGAGAGAGAGAGAGAGAGAATAAAGTGAGATAGAAAAACAGAAAGAATGAGAGAGAGAGAGTGAAAGAATAAGAGAGAGAGAAAAATTGAATGAATAAGAGAGAGAGAAAAATTGAAAGAATAAGAGAAAGAGAAAACGAGGAAAAAGAGAATGAATGAATAGTGTGAATGACCTCCCTTACAATTAACGAGAAAAGAAAGAAAGAGAAAAAGAAAAAGGGAGAATGTATGAATATTGCGAACGACCTCTCTTACAGTTGAGAAAAGAAAGAGAGAGAAATAGAAAAAGAAAAAGGGAGAATGAATGAACATTGTGAAACAATCTCTCTTACAGTTAACTAGAGAGAGATAGGGAAGTTATTGATTAGGACATACTTATTTTAATAAAAGATATCTTAATTTGTGTGATTTCCATTTTAAGGGTGTTTGTTCCACCTAGCAAGGAAATTTGTCTGGCACACTTTTTCTCTTGCAGTTTCTACATTTGATTTACATTAATATACTGAAGATGGTGAAAAACCCATGTTCCAACATAGGACTGTAGTTTTATTGTGAGTGTGATGCTGGAGTCTCAGGACCTGTCAAAACTGCGAGCAGAGAAGTCAGGTTTTATAGGATGGTATGTACCTGTCCAGAAAGGTCCATCATGTGAAAAATATATCTGTCTGAATTCATTGATACTTATAGTACTTCTTTATTTGTCTTTACACTTAATTAAGTGATAAGATAAAAAAAAAGGAAATTTGTCTACATTCCACATTATCTGCTTCAAAGGCTTAAATATTCATTCAGAAAAAAATATAGATTGATTTCATACGTCACTTTGCTTCAAAACTCTTGTCAACACTTGTCCCTTAATTTTTCTGATTCTTTTCTGAAACCACCGGGAAAATAGAAATAAATATGATTTTTCAGACTGTGTGTGTTGTGTAGATACACATTCAACGGTATAGTCCTAAAGTTGGATCTTGTATATTATTAGAAAGACCAAAATGGCCGGAAAAGACCAAACGACAAAAAAGTGGTTAAGATTAAAATAATGCCAGAGATTGGAGAAATGTGATTTGGTTGTCGACCATCATCATACTAAGTGCATACGAAGTGCACTTGCTGATAAATTATTTGAATTGTCTATTATTCTTATACGATTTGTTTAAAAATGTTAGCACAATTTTGAAATTAGATTACATCACATTTTCTCAAGAAGATAAATCAATATTAAATGATTTTGCTTTTCTTACATTTCAAAACCTAAGGGTAAAACTACATCATAAAACAATTAGAAAATAATGAGGTTTCTCCTTAAAGTCTGGCGGTTGATGAATATGTTTGGGTGGATCTCTCAGATCATCCTGGTCTGACTATTCTTGTTTTTTGGTCTGCCTTGGGTGGATCAGATCGATTAAAAACGACCAACTACAAAACGAAAAATTGTTTGATCAGATAAAGTTAGCCATTTTTAAATCTTTTCAATCTCTAGCATTTTTTAATCCTCAAGAAATGTGATATCTGCCAGCAATATGCATAAGTTTATGTCAAACCAGAATTCATTGCAATACTCAAAAAGGAAACTAATAATCATTTAATAAACAATCAGAAAGGATTTAATTTATAGGAAATATTAGGAAAATGTAACAACTAAAAATTATGAAGGTTTTGTGTGATTTATATTTTAGTTCAGTAATGAGATTAAATTTTATTTATTCACCCATCTCAGCGCTGGGGCCCATCATTGGATTATAATAGAAAACATCTCAGTTAATAATTGAAGAAAGAAGCTCATAATTTTTAAAATTGTCAATGGTTAGTAATATTTTGCTTATTCTGACATGCTCATTTGAAATTAAAGAATTACAAAAGGCTGAGCCCTTAAACCTACTCCTCTCAATATGCTCAGAGTAAAACTGGACAGATGGTCTGAGAAAAAGAATTTCACTGGGTTAAAATACCTAAAATTGTTTTTAAAAAGCAAGGAGAAAAAAAATTAAAGATGACACTTTTTCTCTCTCACTCTACCAGTCTCTCACTCTTTCTCTCTCACCCTTTCTCTCTCTTTCCCACCTCTTGATCTCATTCTATCTTTCAGTATTTGACTCCTTTTTCTGACCCTCTACCCCTCTCTCCCTCAACCTCTACCACACACATTCACACTATTCCTCTCTTTCTCTCTCTCCTTCGCTCTCTCTCCCTCCATCTCACTTCTCCCTTCTCTCTTCCTTCTCCTCTACCACTCTCTCTCACTTCCTTCTCTCAGTATGTCACTCTTCTCATTCACTCTCTTTTTCTCTCCCTCTATCACTCCCCCCTGGTGCTCTCTCATTCTCTCTTTCAGTATTTGACTCTCTCTCTTCCTCTCTTTGTACCACTGTCTTACTCTCCCCTCTCTCTTCTTCCCCTCTTTCTCTATCCCTTTCTCTCTCTCTCNTCTCTCTCTCTCTCTCTCTCTCTCTCTCTCTCTCTCTCTCTCTCTCCTTCTCCCTCTCTCTCTCCTCTCCTTCTCACTCTCTCTCTCTATCTTTCTCTCTCATTCATTCATTCTCTCTCTTCTCTCCTCACTCCCATGCTCAAATTCTAAAAGGTAGGACTTTTCAACGAATAGGGCACAATAAATTTGGTAAGGTCACAATAAACCAGAGGCATTTTTTTAAATCACAAGAATAAAAAAAGGCCTGTCCTTTTTTAAATATACTTTTACGCGTGTTCATGTGTAAAAATTGTCTTATTTGTGAAACTATTCGCACTTTCTGTTGTGAAATCCTTGTTTCCTCAATGTAAAAATTGTATGCTTAGGTCCAAAGTTGGTGCTGACAGTAGTAGTGATGATAACGACTTATCGGATGAAAGGGAGGCAAACCCTAGGTCCAGAAAAAGTACACAAACTACTAAAACCCGTTGGACAAAAGAAGAGGTATGTTTTATTAAATCGGTTAAATAAACACATATTAAAGAAATTCTCATTTAGGATAACAAGTTGAAACAGTTGGTAGAAGAATATCAGGAAAATTGGTCTTTAATAGCACAGAAATTACCCCATAGGACTGACCTACAATGTCAACAGAGGTGGCATAAAGTTGTCAACCCAGAACTTGTCAAAGGGCCCTGGACAAAAGAGGTGAGATTTTGGTATACCCAACTCCAGGCGGATATTTCAACAAAATTATTTTTACAGGAGGATGAAACAGTGGTTAGTCTTGTTGAAAGGTATGGCCCTAAAAAGTGGACTCTTATTGCGTGCTACTTGAAGGGTCGAATAGGGAAACAATGCAGGGAAAGGTGGCACAACCACTTAAATCCAAACATCAAAAAGACAGCATGGACTGATGAGGAGGATAGAATTATATACCAGGCACACCAAAAGCTTGGTAACCAATGGGCAAAAATTGCCAAGCTACTGCCTGGAAGGTAAATGCCACATTATCAACATATGAGTTAAATCTATACTCACTTATTCTAAATGTAGAACTGACAATGCTATCAAAAATCATTGGAATTCAACCATGAGAAGAAAGTTTGAACACGAAGAGATGGCTACACAAAAGAAAACAAAAAATAAATCTCGTTCTTCGTTTGATGCGCCTGTGAAAGCAGAAAAGTATCTAAACGAACACCATTACAACTACCAGGTAAATTTTATATTAAAAACTCATAATTATAAAATCCAGTTGTTGAAAATTAATTTTTCAGGTGCTATCTCAGGAACAAGTGAGTCTTGATAGTTGGCAAAACAGAACTTTTGGCTTTTTTGAATCCCCACCAAGACCATTAACTGCCCCACCGAATTCAACTACAGCCAAGTAAGATAAATTAATTTTAAATCCGTTCACTACAGTCTTTTTAATAAAATGATATAGTTTAAGGGAAACTGAAGATTCGAAGCAAAGTTTGTCAAATGAGCTAGGTGAATTAGCCGTGGCGGAGTTTATGACAACAAGAGGAGGGAGTTTCCCACCTTCACCGATGAATTCTGCCTTTAAAGAACGTATCGCAGAATTAGGTAAATTTTCAGATTGTATAGTTTTTAAATAAAGTTATTCTAAATATTGTATTGTTTATTTTTAGGAGCTGATAAGGAAAGTCAAGAATCGATGATGGTAACACAGACTCGAACCAGTGAATCACCTCACATTCTAAGGAAAACTAGAAGAAGACGAACCCAATCTGATTCTTCTTGCTCTCCTGATAAAGTATACCAACAAGTAATTGTTTTATGAATTTAATTCACATTCAATTTCAACTTATTATTCATACTGTAAAATTATACTTCCAGGCTGTCACAGAAAATAGCAGGATTCATTTTATTCAGCATAAAACACCTGAAAAATCTCCTCCTTTAAAACAGCTGCTGTTTAGTCCATCACAGGTAACAAGATTTTATTTAAAGATTTGTAAATTTAAATATTTATTTATTTTGTATTTTTTTTTTTTTACAGTTCCTCAATAGCCCTAGTTTATCCTTTGATGTAAATTTATCATCGACACCTTTGAGAAATGGGTGTGTAACTCCAATAAAATCCCAACCTCCCGACTCTCCAGGGCCCTTAGTTACCCCTACACCTTTACCTCTTCATTCAGCCAACAACAGTCCGCATGTTGACATAAATGGAATGAAAAGATGTGACATCACGCCAGTCAAAATGAAACAGCCGTGCATCGGAACACCACGTACACCAACACCATTTAAGAAAGCACTTGCTGACATGGAAAAACGAATCGGCATGAAATATCAGGTTTGGTCGATTGTATGTTTTTGACATGTTGACTGCATATTTATGATAAGGCATTTTGGTTGCCCATGGTGGAACCCACGTATTATGTAAAATAGCTCTCTGTTACTTAAAAATAATGTAAAAGACTGTTTTTTAAATTTTCTTATGCTTATCTAAGTGATATAAATTTAAATTATTGCAACAATTGATTCCCCCCTCCTTTACTCCTATAAATAAAAAAATCACTTCCAGTTGAAGAGAAAATTAAACAATCGTAGCCAGAGACATTGCCCATTCTGAGGCGACCCTAGGAATTTTGAATGGAAATGGAGGGAGATGTGTCCACCGCACACAGTCAACGTGTTAATATTATGTTGTTTAGAAAATAGATTTGTCATACTCTCTTATTTTCAGCTCCAGTCACCTTCTCATCTTGTAAAAGACATTGAAGAAATTCTACAAAAAGAACAAGAAGATCAGTCCGATCATTCACAGTATGATATGGATTCAAGTGGTGTTCGTCAGGTAAAAGCATATTAACAATTGCACATATTTTTAAAGATAGGTTTTTGTAAACATTTTTCCTTCAATTTGTGACTTTCACTCACACGAAAAAGTTGATACCTTCAATGCTCACTAGAATTTTAATTTTCAATCTCCTGAACAACAATTAAAAAAAAAATTTATATATTATACATAATTAGTCTTTAATAATTACCTGCCTGTAATTATTAAGACCATTTAATACATTAAACATGTATACATATTTTGGCAAGAAATAAATGTACAATCTAAAGACTTTTATACAATGTACTGAAAACTAATTTTTACTCAAATAATTGATTGTTGTTGCGAATTTTGTAATTAAAAAACTTTTTTTTTTAAATTAGAGTGAAGATAGTGGTTACTCTAGTAAAAGGAAAGGTAGTATCCTGCATGCTGGCAAAGAAAATGCCCAACCTCATAAAAGGGCCAGAAAGGCATTAGCATCGTCCTGGACGAGCTTAGGATCACATCTGACAGTAAGTTTTATCAGTACTATTTTTTTTTTTTTTTAAATTTAAAAATAAAAAAATTGTCCTTTTTCAGAACAAAGATACAACAGAAGCTTCAGCCCACTCTTCCAATCACAGGCTCTTAGATGAAGAAAGTCTAGACGCTTTTGATAATAATGGTGAAGACAAGGTATTGTACTTGTTTTTTAATAATTTTTATTAGCGTTAATTAAATAGGGTAAAATAAAAGCTCTTTTTCCACTATAAATTTTTTTTGTGATGCATTTAATTTTGTGTTTAGTCCTCGAAATAGTGATTATTAGGAAAATCTAATGTATTTAAACTCCTATTTTTAAACCACATCTGACATACAGATTACACATTTTTTAAAATTCCTTTGCCTTATTTGAAATTTTTTGAGTTGAAGTAAACACTTCCCACACGCTGATTTTTTTTATTTTATTTTTTTTAACTTAGCATGGAGTGAAGTTAAAATTACAACTGACTGCTAGTTTGTTTTTCTTTTACCAACATTGGTTTAAAGTAGGTTTTATTTATTTCGCTTTATAATATCAAATTTATCTGTTATAACATAATAGCTAGATTTACAATTGGTAAAAAAATTATTCATACACTTAGTTTTTTGGGGAATAAACATGTTTAATAATTTATTGAACATACAATAACTCTTGGTTATTATAACATACAACCCTAATCGATATTTCGTACAAATAATGTTAATTAAAAGCTGTCTAAACAATCTAATTAACACAAAAAGGCCCCGGTGTAGAGGATTACTTACTAAGGTACTTCCTTGCAGTATTCCTGCATCTTTGCTATAGCTGGCTGATAGAGAGAGTCCACCGATGAGTTGAGGGTATCTGTCGGGTAGGTAGGATTTTATGATTAGGTAGTAGGTAAAACAGACGACTGACTCTCTTAACACATTCAATGCATGACGGAAATCCAAGACCATCACCCAGGTACGGAATTTTTTTTCCTGGATCTTGATAGGTAGATTGATTTCATTTAGCTTTTAATTAATAGCAAATAATGTTTTATGATGCTAAAGTGCATTTTTGTAGGGTTTTTTTACAGTGACTCCATAGTGGAGCAAAAGTCCGAGTATGCAAACCTGTAGCTCAATGCACAGATGATGGGTATTGGTCTGCGAGTCGGTGAACTCACGCTGAACCTGCATATGGCCACTTATTGGGTCTGTCTTCAGTGAGAAACTGTTTCTCACTGAAGATGGCGCAATGCCGAAACATTTGAATAACTCAAACAAAAAACCGCGAGTGAAGACAGACCCAATAAATGGCCAGGTGCCGGTTCAACGAGTTCAACTCACTTTGCCTAATTCTGTTGATTCACGAATTATTTAGGATTTTTGTATTCTAAACCATCTTAAAAACTTATTTTGATGACTTTTTCTTCACCAATGTGTGAATGAGAAAAAATGGTTTGTTGCTGTCATGGTCCTGGGGAAAATCCATTTTTTTTTTGTTGTAAATAAAGGGCTTTTGTTGTTTCTGCTTTTCCTCTGTACCCTGCTTTATGGATCCAATTCCTCATTTTTAAGGAATAACGGATTTTCTTTGTGACTTTTTGCACGATTCCATGAGATTCACTCACTGTCAGCGAGTGTTTTTTGTCCATATGTTTTTTATCATTTAAAGTTAACCCCACCATGCTTTTCGGTTTGCAAGCCTTTTTTTTGTCTCCATACAAATTTGCTTTCATTGGAAAACATACATTTTTTTTTCTTAGAAGGTAATCGGTTTTTTAACATGCTTTCAGACAAACTTTTTTTTGTTAATTATTTTATTTTATTTTTTTTGATAAATTGATTTCTCACAGTTTGGGAAGTAACTGTTTTCCCATGTCGTGATAGAATTTTTTGGACGCTCACGGCCAATTATTTTTGTATTATCTACAGCTTTCACGGGATTTACACACTGTCATGAACTGTGCATTTTCTTCCTGTGTGTTTATTTCTTAAACTTTTTTTATTGAACAGTCGAGTGGGACAATCCCAACTCTTTCCTGATATATCGGTAACTCAACCCTCGTTTAAAAATTGCAATATCTTTGCAGGCACTGCTCAATTCTTTACATTTGTGAACCCATTTTTAGTGGAATTGTCCATCAATACTGACTTAAACACATTTATCCCACTTTGTTGACTTAAGAAAAATAACTTTTTTAAAAGTTTTGGTGTTAATTAGATTTTGTGAATTTCTAACTTCTGTTATTTGTATTAATTAATGCGTAATGTTTGGTATAGTAATAATCAGTTATTTAATGTTCAATAAACTCTTAAAAATATTTATCCCCCCCCCAAAAAAAAAAAAGTGAACGAAATTTTTTTTACTCACTTTTTATATAAATATGAACATTGACCAGCATTTGTATTCAACCTCAGCTCTAAGGACTGATTGATAATTCATAGATACTTTAAAATTTTTAGTCTTCGGTGCATGTTTTCTCCTCTCTGAGAGATAAAAAATTGCACAGAAAATGTACATAGAAGAGAGGTATGATGGATGAAAATATGAGAAAAATAGTCCCATCACTTACCATTCACTTCTTGAACAGAACAGTTAGTTAAAATAATCAACAATTTTTTTTTGCATAAACATGTCATTACTTGAATTTTGAGTAATTGGTGTTGGGTTTTAATTTGAATTAGCGATATAACGAGCACGCTTGCATCTTTGTATTCATGTTTGTTTTGTTTTTTAAACACCAAGTACTAGTTTCATTTCAACAGCATTGTACAATTTCCCATAGAGACTAAATATCTGCTACGAAAAGGAAATTTTACTTCAAATACCACAATACTTTGTTGATAGTTATTTCTTATGCTAAAAGTATATCGTGTAATTATTCTGTTATAGCAAAGTATCATCTGTTTTACTTGTTGTACTTTCATGAAGAGACTATGAACGTGGCAACTCTTGGTTCAATGAAACTTTTTTTGGTGATGCTAAGTCAAAAAATATTAGACAAGTGTCAGCGTTCTTGCCAATGAGCCACATTCTACATGTATTTGTTAAATTTAAACAATGTTTGTAAATCCCAGGCCCTGAAGATGATCTCAATAAAGATCGAAACGTTGGCACGATAAAGAAAATGTTTTTCTGAAACCTATGTCACACCAGACCGCATCTCACGATTTCCGAATAATTTTCTGTAAAGATTCCTACTGACCTCTTGAGTCGTTTCAATGTTATCACTGTCACTGTGATTTTATTTAAAAAATTATAGGCATTTAGGTGGCAAAAAATTTGAGAAAAAATCTGTTTTCTTACTTTTTCTAAAATTTGTTTCTAGGGGGTTTTTAGGGTGAAAAAAGGTATATCAACTTTGTTTCTTTTTTTAAAAAAAAGAAAATTAAACTACTTACCTATGATCACAGATTAGTAGCTTATTTATGTCCTCAGCAAAATTGTTCTTGAGGCTATTTTTTTCTCAGCTGCTAGGGCCAATTGGCAAGAACACTCAGACACTTGCCTAATATTTTTTTGCCTACACTGTTATTGTGATCTTGAAGAGGGGTAAGGTGAATTGTAGGCATTTGGAAGGCGAAAAATTTGAAAAAAATCTATTTTCTAATTTTCCTCAAAATTTATATTTTGGGTGTTCTTAGATGCAAAAAGGATTATCAGCTTTATTTCTTTCTAAAAAATATTTTAACCTACTTAGCTATGGTCACAGATTAAATGCTTCAATAGGTAGCTTTTTATGACCCCAGTGAGATTTGTATTGTGGCCTTTTTTTAACTTGGCTCCTAGAGCCAATTGGCAAGTAAGCTGGGGCAGTTGTCTAATATTTTTCAACTTAGCATCACCAAAAATTGTTCATTAAAGTAAGTGTTGCCATGTTAAGCGTCCTCCTTGTTAGCCTACCTGTCCATAAACATTTTATGAAAATTTGTGAACGTTCATTAAAAACAAATAAATAAATAATAATAAAATTTATACACGTTTAAGAATTTCCTTGTAACAAGTGATTTTTATCGAAAGGATAAATGCAAGTTTAGCTTCTTCTGCCCTTTTTTTATTTCTTTTTATTAATCAAGACTCTGTGTAGTATGAAATTAACTACCAAATGATTGTTACTGGCAAAAGTGATAAGAATTTGTTTAGCCAAACAAAAAATATAAATAAATAAATAAAATAAAATGGTATACTGATACTACATATGAGAGAATCATCAAAAATTTTATATGTGCCCCCAGATTTAATTTTGGCATCATAAACTGGATCTTTTATCGAGGGGTAAAAAATGTTATATATTTGTAGATATAAATATGCTGCTCTGTTCATTATATAAGATTGTAAGTGATGTGGAATACTCTAGTTCAAATTTTGCTAATTTTTAACTTGTAATACTAATCTATTAATTCGGTAACTCATCAATTCACTACTGATTATATGCTATAGCCTATAATGATACTTTTTGTCATAGATAGTCATTAAATAATAATAAAAAATTCAGCTATTGGCAAAACCATTTATATCATGTAGATTATTATTTTTACAAATTTTATATTTTAAGGCCTTATTGATGGATTTATTGATCCATTTAATGGATACATTCATTACAAATTGTTAATATCTTTTTGAGGGTAAAGTGATTGGGCCCTATGAATTTCTCTGCAAGCAGTGCATATAAAGATTTAATTTTACATATATTAAGTTTTTGATTTATCACTTCATTTTTTAGTTTGTGAGAAAAATTATCGTACACTAAACCACAAAGTTCTGAATTAATTTGTAACGTAACATATTGAGAAGTTGTAAGATGCTGTATATGCGGTTTTTTTTGTGGGGGGAAGAGGTGCGTTCAGAAAAGGCCAGGGGGTGACTATGGGAATTGAACCCACGACTGCAGGTTCTATGAGTGCCTAGCCTAGCCACTCACAGTCCCCCCTTTAGAAAGTTTTTAATAATTATTTTTTAAATTTTTTTTAGTAGAAAACATCTATCCAACTCGGTTATTATTTTGGGATTCGTCGATGCTGAAGTCATAATGTTAGGGGGTAAAATCAGGAATGCCAATAAAATTGCAGTTTTTCTTCAAATAACAATTTCTTATTTAGGTACACACAATAAAAATTTAAATGATTAATATATTAATAATAATTAATTAATATATTTTCATCACATGGCCTACAAACTTGAACAAATATCGTTGAGCCCTAGGAGAGAATTTTTTTTGAAGAACTTAAAGATCCTGTCGTTTGGCAGCAGATATCGAAAGCTTTTCTTGGCATGTTAAGGAAATTTAATTCGCCTTCTTTAAGTGAATATGATGATAGTTTTGTCTGCTTTTCTGAGTTTCCTCAACATTTTAGAGGAAACCCAAGATCCGTTGTAGATCGGTGGAAAATCAATCCTTCATGGTCATGACATAGAAACTCTTCGACATGCTGGAACTCGAAGGGACAGGTTAGTGAAAACGGCAGGCTAGGGTTCTCGAATAATGTTTTCCAGCCTTTGATCATGCTTTGGGAGGATTTAATGACTAAATGGTTGAGGTTTTACTCTTGAATGTTGTACCAGTCAAAAGGTACCTACATTTTTATTTTGAGATTGATTAATCCTATTTTTTTGCACTCCACTTCTGTTTACTATGAATACAACTTTCACAGACTCAAAGCATTTTCTATAGTGAACTAGGTAGTAAATCTTATTTTGATTAATCTCTAGATTTCAAACTCCTTGATGGAGTTGTTAAAAATGAAATGATTCAAAAATGAAATAACTTAATTGCTTCTTTTTTTACCAATTTTTTGGGTGGAAGAATAAAAAAAGCTTTCACAATTACCAAGATTAAAACAGTACACTCAATTGTGAGCGGAAGTTCTCCGTCTAGCAGATTTTGGCCCTTCATGTTCACCTTGAATTGTTTTCTTCCCTCCTAGTGGTTTATTATCAGTAAGTACTCCAGATGGCACTTTATTCTCCATTTCAGTTTAAAGAAAAGATAGTATGTTTCTTTCCCCTCACCCCGTACTTGCTCCCTATATAGAACCATGGAATGACTTCTAATAAGTGGGACATATTGAGCAATCTTTCCCTGCACATCATATGCATACAACAGGTCGTGAAAAAGTCGTACATGGAATTCATCGAAGGATCGCAAACATGTCTGAGACCTCAAGAAAGCCAAAATCCATACTAAAAATTATAGGGATCTCTGCTAATTCTTGATCATGTTATTGGTGGGAAAATGACCACTGACATTCTTTCCTGAGAGAGAAAAGTGGCATGAATTGACGAGGATGATCAGAGATGATCACGTAATAAGGAAATACTGGGCTTTGTGTTAAGAATTAAGCAGCTAGCAAATTTTATTCACGTGTTTTTATATTATATATATAAACAAAAAATCGGAGTATTGTATCTTTATTCTCAAATTTTTCCTCATTAACGGAACAAACACTATCATTAAAAATTGAATTGTTTAATGTCAAATAGTTTTATTTATGAGATGTTCTGTTTAATTTTGATATAGTTTGACTTCTGTGCGCATTTTTCAAACATTAAAAAGTCCAGGCAAGGCTTTGAAAATAAAAACAAGTTTGACAATCTATTTTTTATTTTATTTTTTTTATTTCAGGGTTGTTCCAACAAACCGCTAATAATATTTTATAACATAATCTTCTAATTATTGTATTTAGATATTCAGTAAAGCTTGAACATCGAGAACTATGAAAAGAATCAAACAACATTTTTTATGTAAAACTCAGAGCTCATACATCACCATATTTATGCAACAGTGTTGGAACAAGCCTTTAGTTTAATTTTTAATTTATTTTCCTTATTGCTCTCTTAATTGAATAAATGTGTTTTATTTCCTAAATACTTAAACAAATTTATGTTTTATTTTATTTATATATTTGTCTGCTTCAGATTGTCATATTTAGTTCTCTTATCATTTTATTTTTTTTTATTTTTATTTTTTTATTATTTCAGATATGTTTTGGGTAAGTTCAGAAAAAGATTGAAAAATTGAACATAATGCAAAAAATCAAGAATATTCAAGATTAGACACCCATTGATGCATTGAGAAATGTAGTTGCACGATGAAGTAGAAGTTGTCCTTTATGTTTCTTACTTTTTTTGTTTATTTATTTTATATGCAGTAATAAAAAGTAGAACATGGTATATTCACGTATATTGCATGAGACATGAGAGCACTTTTTTTCTAGTTGAAATTCGACTGTAGTTCCGATGAGTAAGGTTGAAATTCAGTGGGTTCAAATTTGTATCTAGTATATTCGACCCTTAATACTACTCAGGTTAGTTACATGTTTATGAAAAATGTTGCTGTTCTGTATCAGATTGTGAAATTCAGTATTAGGGGATGATAAATTAAAAAAACACACACACATAAAAAGTGGGAAAATTATATTTGCCGTATCAAATTTTTAGAAAGGTAGTCGTTAAATTAAATTCAAGCTTTTTTCTCATTTTAAATTCAATTTCTAAAATTGCCTAAGCATATAAGTAAATTCGTTAATTTTTTAAGGGCGATTTCTATTAGGACGACCATAGGCGGGATTGTGCCATATAATTATTTTTTAATGACCTTCCAATTGGATTGATTGTTTTTATTGCTGATGGAACACTTTTTATACTGCCACACTTTCTGTATAGATCTCACTTAAGAGAAATTCTTTAATATTTTGTTATATCAGATTTAGGAATGCGCATTTTTTCTCAGTATACTTTAAATAACTTCAAAACTAGAAGAATAAGTAAATAAAATCACTGTCGGAAATAGCCGTCGGAATAAATATTACTTTTTTTGTGTACCTTTTTAAAGTGATTAAACTTCAATTGAAAAACAATACTTTTCACGTCCCATATTGAAAACTAGCGGAAAAAACTATCTATGTATTGTGTAGCCTACAGATCCTTTATATTTCTTGCCCAATGTGTCTTAGTATTTTGTGTTGTTTTGTGAATTATGTGATTAACAAAACATTCGTGTCACATTAATTTTGTGAAACGATTCTTATTATTTGTTTGTGATGCTTCATAAATAAATACTTTATTTTAAATACTGTGCAAGGGCATTGTCGCATATATTAAATAAGTAATGTAGGGATAAATAATATCTTTGAATTGAACAGAATTTTCTACATTGAATATTTTTAAATTGCCCTTAGACAGTGTTTATTCATTATTTTATGTAGCTTCTGGGTTTTATTGGTGCTTGGAATGTAGAAGTTGTATTTCACAGAAAGCGATCGCCAGAAAATTATTGCCTGCCACTAAATTATCAGTGGTAAAGCGAATTGACTTTGGACTACACACCAACGATCGCAGTCTTCCGAAGGTAATATATGAGTGATAAAATTTTAAATTTTACTTGCTCTTCTTCAGAAAGTATCGTAGTTTAATTTTATATATTAAGGCAAAATTGAATGATTTGCCATGTCAAATCCTAAGAACTAATATTTTTGTGAGATTCCTCTTAATATTTTTTAAAAATTTTCTAATGCAAATAAAACAAGTGCCCTCTATATCAAATTTTCCAAGTTGATACATTTAACATACTTACATATTGTTTTCTCATATATATCCATGTAGATTTTCAATTTAATCAGTATTAAATTTCCTAGGAGACACACGTCCAACAAATATCCTTTGAATGTGTCCTTAAAAAGCTATACTTTTCCTTACCACCATTTGCAATTCACATATCCAATCATCAAAAACCTCAGCACCTCCTAATCTCATCAGTTTGCTGTCATTACTTAGCAAAATACTTGAAAAACTTGAATGCACTAATTTCATTCCATTACATCAATTTGGGTTCAGACATCACTCAACCGTTCAACACAGCGTAAAACATCGTCAGATTGCTTTCTTGAAGGATTGGGTGCTTTGCTAGATGTGAGGCAAGCCTTCGATCGAGTGCGACACCGCTTGTTCTGTAAACTCAAGGACATCCATTTACCTATTACCTCATTTTTATTTGTCCAATACTTTCAAGTATGAGTTAGAACATCCTCCTTTCCAATTATATGCCTAAGTAGGTGTTCAGCAAGGCTCCATCCTTCACTTTACACTGCAGACATCAATCACAATATAGCCATCCTTTAAGCAAACCCAGACCAAGTGGCCTTCAGAAACTTCCAGGACCATTTTTGGAAGGATGGTGCAAGAAAGGACATCCAACAATCCACTCCAGTCGAAAATACTTCGAACCATTGCCTAGTCTGCCTATTTCCTATCCAAACTTACTATCCACACAGACCTTCAAATCCCATTTGTCATTGAAAAAGCAAAAAGTCGATATAGATGCCTCATACCACAACCAATTAGACAAAATCCACCTGTGCAGCAACAACCAAAGAATCCACTCAAGACCAAAATCATTTGAGCCAATGCCCAAGCTTCCTAGTTCATATCCTACCTCACTATCACAGACCTCAAAATTTTATTTGTCCTCCAAACCCTGAACCCTGTTCAACATTCTTCCAGTAAAGTGAATAGTGTAATAATAGAAATTATACACCCTAGCAATCTTACTATACAAAGTTGCTTGTATCGCTTTAACATTTATTTTAACATAATAATATTGGGGGTCCTGGAAAGTCGCTTTTGTACATTAAATTCAACCAGATAAATTTTTTAACAAGTTTTTATTTTTAATCAATTTTGTAATCATCCTCGTTATCAACCTTTTGTCATCTGGCGTGCAATTTTTCAATTCTGGATCGATAAAAATCAATTGGTTTTGGAGCAAAATATCTAGAGATAGTATTTTGGACATCATCCAAATTTTCAACTTTTTTGCCACTTAGAGAATGTTGTAGTGATCAGAATAAATGGAAATCACGAGGTGTGTGAGTCTGTACCTCCTACCCCTATTCATTAATTTTTCCAGAGTTTGTCTTGTGCAGTGCAGGTTTGCATTAACTTGTTGCAGAATAACGCTTTTCTATTGACAATCACTGGGCTTTCAATTAACGATTGATTTACTCAATCTAATTGTTCACTGTAAAGGTCTGCATTCACAGTTTGTCGGGTTTCAGCACTTCAAAATGAACGACCCTACGAATACTCCACCGAATACAAAAGCACCTTTTTGGGGTGTAAATGTGGCTAGCTGTATTTCATGGTGATCCATTTGAAGAGAGCCACTGCCTTTTGCTTTTAGGATCATCATAGAGGACCTATTTTTCATCTCCAGTGATGAAGCAATAAAAAAAGGCGCATCTGTATTGTGCTGCTGAAACAAACACCTTGGTCTGCTTACATTACCAACTGCTGCAAATGTTCATGGATGTTGACCAACCAAGAGTGTTTAACAGTTCCTCAATTGTCTAACATGAATTTGCTTCCACTTCTGCCCTTAACATGTCATTGTCTAAAGTTTTTGGTCTTCCTGATCGATAAAAGTTGAAAAGATTGAAATTATCGGATTTGGACTTAGAAAACCACCTTTGACATTTACAAACGTCTAATGCACTGGGATAAACATCACGAATGTTTTTGGTATCAACTGTCGAATTACTACCCTTGAGAAACTCATAAAGCATACAATGCCAGAAATGTACCTCTTCTTGACCAACCATTTCACTACAAATTGCACACAGAAAATTAAGATCTAATGATTTACGAGTAAACAAGTCATTCTAACCTTAAAATGTCTTTGGCACGACTTTGAAGTACACAAGCTAACAAATGACAAACGAATATTGACATTGGTAGAAATGACATTACTTTCCAGTACCTCCAATAAATATTTTTGTGCTAATGGTTTCATAGATGTAATAAATGTATTCTCTAATTTATGCTTTTTATTATTTTATTGTTCAATTTTTATGTGCGTATTTGTTATGTAGTGATCAATTTGTTGGAAGTAGAATTTCAATCATTCATACCAATTACATTTAAAACGACTGAAGACAGAATTAATTAGATAATTTTTAACTTTCCCAGTGTTCTCAGCTGTATTGGTTTCTTTTGTTTTTTAAAGGTGGCTTTAAGTTGGGAGACTGTCGCTTGCGGAAAAACCAAAGACCAACTTCATCTCACAAAACTTGCTCACCGATATCTCTCTACCTCACAAGAAAATGGTGATTTTTGAGACACCTAATTCTTTCTAGAGACTCTGTCCCTCTAGTCTGTAAAATTTTATCTTAAATTCCTATTTGGTGTTATGGCATCAATTTGTACCTATGAAATATATTTATTTATCGATTTTATTAATCAATTTTTTATTATATAATTATTATTAAGCGTGATAAGTCCCAAAAGACTTTAAAGATGTTTTCTGTAATTAACTTTTAGTTGCCAATTATGGTTAATTGTGATTGAAACTTTCAATTTTATGTTACTATTAATTAACTGAGCCAGCTCACAAATAATAAAGAGCCTGAGAGAAGTAAACACAATGCTGTTTGACTTATGACTTAAAGTGTAAATATATCTATGTATTTATTTTTTTTCTCGTAAGTGTGTATAAAATTTGTTCAATATTTTATTTATGTATAAATGTAGTGCTAGAAATTGTTAAAATATTTTCAGAGAATATAGATTTTTTTATCATTTATATTTAGTTTGCAATAACATGAATATATATTTGTTTTTGTCCATTGTAAATAGATAACACATGGATTGGAATATGTCATTTACCTTTTAGGCTATGATCACCTTGATTTTTTAACAACAACCAAAATAAAAATAATTGCTTTAATTGTTGTGATTAATCATAACCCAATTCTCTATTATCCTTTATGTTTTAAAAAAACACTAATTTTTTAATTAAAAAATTATTAATCAGGGTGGAATTTGGCAAAAGCATTAGAAATTGGTCAAATGAGTTTCGCCGCAGGATTCAGGGGCTCTTTGTACTCATTCAGCCCTTTAAGCTTTCTTTACTGTCATTATATAAAATGTGTGGTGATTAGTGACCGTTAATCGATAATTATTCAGAAATCGTGAGATGCGGTCTGGTGTGATGTAGGTTTCAGAAAAACATTTTCTTTATCGTGCCAACATTTCGATCTTTATTGATATCATCTTCAGGGCCTGGGATTTACAAACATTGTTTACATTTAACAAATACATTTAGGACGTGAAAAAGTGAGTTAATAACTTTTCTATACCAACTTCCTTCCCCACCCCTTCAAAATCCAACATATATAAACATAAAACAGCAATATCTCACTGGCACTCTCAACACGACACGCACGAATGGCACAATTACACAGAAGGCAAGCACTTTGAGTGAGTAGAAATACTTCGATTGAATATAAAAAAATATATATTTTTCATTGTATAAATTCACTTTTTCACATCCTAAATGTATTTGTTAAATGTAAACAATGTTTGTAAATCCCAGGCCCTGAAGATGACCTCAATAAAGATTGAAACGTTGGCACGATAAAGAAAATGTTTTTCTGAAACCTACATCACACCAGACCGCATCTCTCGATTTCTGAATAATTATATAAAATAATTTACACTTTATTTATGTATTCTGTTTACAATTTTACTTTGAAAATATAGAGAAGTTGATGGTCGGTGTTGGGGACCGTGATAGCCGAGTGGTTTGGGAGTCCGACTCGTATTTGATACGCTAGTGGTTCTAGGTTCAAATCCCGGCACAGTCCATGACTTTTTAATTGATAATATTATGAAAATGCATTGTAAAGTGGTTTCGTCACTCATGTGCAACACCTGATAGGTAGTAGTACAGGAATTATTTTGCATGATGGTGAACACACATTATTGTTTTTACAATAAAAAAATGAACCACTAGAGAGTCTGAATCCCCTACTGAGTCCTCTTAACTGGCCGATCCCCAAACTGAGTCTAGCTGACTGAGTCCTCAATCTCTAGCTTAAGAAGCCATCACAAAATTCTAGAGAGAATTATAAAAAAAAGTTATCTATTGAGATTCTCAGTTCTCATGAATAATAAAGCTCCTGGCACTGATGGCATTAGCTACAAATTTTATAAATTTGTGCCTGATTTAACTTCTTAAAGAATGGCCTTTTTTGTTTTCTAACTCGATCCAAAATATCTGTCCCTCTCATGCTGACAGTTGTCAGCTCAAGGTCGAAATTCCTCCAGATTTTTACTAAGAAAAAAGATATATAATAGATACTTAAAGATATTTTAATCAAAACTTATTCCAATATGTCTGTGAGTACTAAAATTTCCTCTATTCCTCATAGGTTTTTGAAAATTATACGTACCTGACAAAATGAGAGGAAAACTTAACTATGAATCTTCTGAGTAATCATAGATAAGAGAAACTAGTCCCAACCTTACAAGCTGAGGTTCAGTCCAACTCTCATCTACAGGAGTAAATCAAGAGGAAAATCAAAAGTGCACAGATACTTTCAGAAAAGCAGGCTACACAGCCACTTTAAGTTCCAAACTACTCTGGGAATGCTTAAATCATCTAATGGAACCAGGTTCAGGGTACACCCATGGTTGCCTTGAAATTGGTTCCAGGACATGGAGGTACAGAAAGAAACAAACTAACCAAAGGGGCAGGCTTCACACACATAGTACGAGTGCTACGACTATGCACACCAGAAAGTATGTTAATGGTAAAGCTGGATACCTTACCTATCCGGGGTAGGCTTCAGCTTCTTGAGAAAGATAAACTCCAGGACGAAAGCATCAAGTTTGAGGCAGGTTGAGATAAATCTTTCAAAAAGGAATCCCTTGGATTTGTAACTATATTCCATGCTGAGGTCCATGCGATATTCTCATCCACAGGAATTGGTCGAGAAGAAAATAAAGCTGAGATTTATAAATTTCTCAAAAAGGAAGGCAAAGAACTCTCTCTCGGCAGGTTTGAGGTAAATTATAAGCCTCTATACCAGCCACTGCCCTCTGAACTACCACCCGAAGAATATGGGCACTGACGAAAGTGGTTAGTTTCTTTTCCCCTTTCAAAAAAAGTTTTCACTCCGCTATAATTATTATTTGTACAATTATTTAATATTTCAAGAATAAAATTTGTTCACCTTTTTCCTTTATGTTCAGTCGCTCGGCAAAAATAACAAAGTATTCGTACCTCATGTCCAAGGGGATTAAGCGATTATTAGAGCAATTTGGCTTTAGAAAGAAAAGGACAAAAACACCAGGCATAGAGCAAGCTGAGATTAATAAATCTCTTAAAAAGGAAGCCTAAAGCAGACAGACTGCACAGGCAGTATGTATGGTCTTAATTGTATGTATTCCACACTAGGCTGCAGTGAAGAATTTTTCAGACAATTTAATCGAATTTTGTTTAATTTAATTGAGAATATTGTCGTAGGAACATGATAGTAATCTTTTGTACGCTGAAGGGTTGTATGACCTGCTGCCATTGTCCCTGAATGAATTGATCGGTACGTTAATTTTTTATTACAAAAGAATAGGAGAATTCAAAAAAGTATAAATGACAGCGATCTCTGTATAAGATTAATTTATTCTATGCCACATATTTTAAGTAAAAGAACTTTCTAATCAAAGATTTGAGCAATTTGGCTATAAATGGCCAATAAAAGGGTTAACTTTTTTTATACATATATATGTACAATTTATATTTTTTAAATTAAAATTTGTATTAAATGATATTCACTATTTTTTTTGTAGTGAAAATGCTTTGTGTTTTTATAATAGTTATGATTAAATCTGTACAGTATATTGAAAATTTTTTAAGGCTGTTGCTGCGACCATTCGAAAGCATTCTGGAAAAGCCTCATCCATGGTGAAACTTTCAGCGTCTCGAATTCCGGTGGAACATACGGCCATTGCCACATAACTGTGCAACGTTCCGGATGCGGCATCAGGGCTAAATGACGTCCGTCCGCTGAGCAAATTCCAGCGATTCCGTCTGAAAAGAAAATTTAAATTGTTAACTTTACTATTTACATTAATACATGTTTTAACAAATTGAATCAATTTTTTTTTAAATTATGAGAAGAAAATATTGATTTTTGTTTCTTACCTACGCTACCATTCGGATTCATCGGATAAGTTTCAGTTGGCACTCCGTTATCATCGACATATCTAAGCGATACGCATTTATTGTTGTCAATTTGTTTTTTGACTTTATCATTCTTAAAAGTGAATTGACCTAAAAATGTGAAAATAAATGGTTAGGGGTGGTAATAAATAAATTAATAATAATAAAAATAAGAATATATTTTGGGGCAATATATAAACTATGTATAATAGTCAAGCCTGAGAGAAAATCTTTTTGTCTATTAGTCGCAGTCCACTGGCAATTCCAGCTTTTGTTATTTACAATAAATTACTAGCGGGCCTTGAGAATCACCCACCCTGGGTGTTGACAGATCTGTGTCTATCAGTCCAGCTGAGGTTGGGTCCGGGGCCTGTCAAAAGCTAGGTCATTTCAGCCCCCAAATAATCAGTATCTTAGTCCTCCATCACCCCCTTACACCTTTTATAAACTAACCTTATTGAGGATTTATGACTCAATGTACCAATTGACTATTGGTACACTACATATTCATGCTAATAAATACACTCAACACACACTAGATGACCCAGATACTTGCTGCCTTGGTCAAGCACAATTCTCATATCAGGTAATATCACTACACGCTCTCTATATGGATCCAAGGAGTTGCACTGTTCAATTAAGTGGGGCATCAAGTAACAGCAGGCTTTGGCCCAAAATTCAACCTTGCATGGCCTATAATCGGGTGAGGATGACTCTTCTGCAACTCAAGATCTTTTGAGGGCCACCTATGGACAGGTATGCAGAAGAGCTTTCCTGCCGATTCAGCCCTTATCCCAGAAAAGGATTAAATTTTATATGACAAATTGTCAGTTAGTCATCATTAAGATCATACATAATGTGGATTATTTTTAAAAATTTACGGATTGTCCTGTTATGTTTTTCAAATTGTCTATTATACCTAATTTCATTTCATTTATTTTTTTAATAAAATGAGCTTTTTTTATGAAAATTTTATATTGTAAGAGTAAGAAGAATGGCTTACCTTCTCCATGAGCGACCCAAACTCCCAAAACGCTTCCTTCCATTCCTTTGCACATAATTGATGGACATTTTTCAATCCTAACAGACGTGAATCTACATTCGAATCGTTCTGATTTATTGTGATCTAGTACAATTTTTGGGCTAGTCCGATCTCCTATAAACAAAAAACAAAAAATTAACTGTGACTGAAAGGTATTATCATCTTGCATTCATACAAATGTTGACCCAAAGGTAAACTGGCTTCTACTGCATAATGCGAGTAAAAAAATTGTTCATACTTTTTTTTTGAGGGAATAATATGTTAAATAATTTATTGATTATTACAATAAACAAACATTCCTATTTAATTCTTACAAATGAAAGAAATAAGAAGTCTGTTCAGTCTAATAAACACCTACCTAAAATCTTGTGTGTAAAAAATTATTCATAGCCCTAATTAAAACACACATAAAACACTTTCTATTTTAGTACTGGGTTGTATTCTATTAGGCATTGATATTTCAAGCTTTTTGGTTTTAAAAGGGGCAACGTTCACCATCCAAGGTTTTTGAAGATTGTAAATGAAGGGCTTCTGAGAAAAACAGAGATATTTGACTATTTTTAGTTCAAGTTGTGCCCATAAATTTTCAATGAGGTTAACATCTGGTGATTTTGTTGTTAACATTTGACGAGCATTATAGAGTAGCATTCTGTGGTTTTTTTAAGGTGGTATGCTTGGGATTATCCTGGTTTAGTCTTGTTGGAATAATAATAGTAGGATTTTAAGACCAGGTTGTAGGGTAAAAGGGATGACTTAATTTTCCAGAGAAGCCTCAAGTGCCATACTAGATCCCATCTAGGAATACACCGGAGCAGTCTTTCTGACTCAAAATTTCCGCACCTGAACAAAAACCTTTATATTTGCTTTCATAGGAAAACAACACATTTTTCCAGGAGGAAAGCAGTTTCTTAACATGCTCCTGGGCAAACTCCAATCTTTTTGTTCTTTTGCTGGTTTGTGTGAATAAATGGCTTTTTTGTTACTGCTCATCCTCTGTATCCTGCTTCATGCCTCACAGTTTGGGGAGAAAATGTTTTTCCATGTTTTCTTTGCATTGTTCTGCAAGCTAATAAGCATTTATTTTTGGATTTTATTATGGCTTTTCGCACGATTTCACTGTGTGTTTTCCTTCTGCATTTATTTTTTACAGTTTTTTTGTTTACAATATATTGGATGGTCGAGTGGGACGATCCCAACTCTTGGATAAGACCCATCATTCTTCACAGACAGTTGCACAAAGTTTTTTTTTTAAGTTTGAAAGCGTTTTCTGGCCCCAAATAAATTTCCAGCTATCTGTATCAAAAATTTAAATTTGCTTACATCGGAAAACACATTTTTCCAGTGGGAAAGCAATTTTTTAACGTACTATGAAGCAAACGTCAATTTTTTTCTTCAATAAGGCAATTACTCACAATTTGGGAGTAACTATTTTTCCAAGTTGGGATGCAATGTTTTGCTAGCTCATGAGCACTTTTTTTTTTTTTTTTATTCGGTTTTTCGCATAATTTCACAATTCACTCATTGTCGTTTTTTCCTCTTTTCCAGTCGGTTGCAAAAAATTTTTTGGTTTAAAAACTTTTTCTATTACTAAACAAATTTCCTCCATCCAAACCAAAAATGTTAAATTTGCTTACATTGGGAAAAAAACATTATTCCAGAAGGAAAGCAGTGTCTTAACAAAATCTCGGACAAACTTCAATTTTTTCCCCTTTAAAAAGCCGATTCCTGACAGCATGGGATGTAACTGTTTTTCCAGGTAGTGACACATTAATTACGGTATTCACTAATTTCGTGATCCGCTTGACCAATTAATACTTTATAATTAATTAAGGTTTTTAGTTGAGATGAAAAAAAGTTAATGGCACGAGAGGGATTCGAACCCACGACCTTCGGCTAGATACGCCGCTTCTCTTCCACCTGAGCTATCGTGACCTCGATCCACTCGGACATCAACTAAAAACCTTAATTAATTGTAAATTAATTACGGTTTTTAGTTGAGATGAAAAAAAGTTAATGGCACGAGAGGGATTCGAACCCAGGACCTTCGGCTAGATACGCCGCTGCTCCACCACCTGAGCTATCATGACCTCATTGAGGTGGTGACCGTTTTTTTATTTCTTAAATTTTTTTTTACGTTATTTTGAATAGACGAGTCAGATTAGTCTAACTCCTTTCAGATATATCGGAACTCATGTCTTTTTAAAAAAATACAAAAATTTGATCTTTACAGGTACCACTAAATTCTTTAGATTTGTTCTTAGCGACCTCTTTTTAAACTAGTCCATGCATTAAAAACATATATTCACAAATACAATTACTTAAAAATCATCTTAAACTTACCATCGTCACAGCCTATCCAGCCGATCAAACCCATTAATTGGCATCCATTGCACACTCCTAAACTGAACGTATCCGGTCTGTCGGCGAAAGCATCAAATTGCCCTTTCAATAATGGGTTAAATTTAAGACAAGCCGCCCAACCTCTTGCAGAACCCAAAACGTCTGAAATAAAAATTAATTATTTGCGCCATTTATTTCAATTTGCCAATTAGTCTAATTTTACCTGCATAGCTGAAACCGCCAGGAAAGATTATTCCTTTGAACATTGCAGTTGTGACATTTCCATCTAACAAATCTTGCATTGTTACGTCCCATACTTCAAACCCTGCCATATGAAGAGATACTGCCATTTCCCTGTCACCATTTGATCCTTCTTCCCTGATAACTGCTACTCTTGGTTCTAGAATATTTTTTTAAAATAATATTTTATTATTAAAATTTATCTGTGTGTCTTGTTCAAGTTCTTACCAGGAGTCAAAATACTACTGGCAGGTGTTGGTAATTTTGCTGGATCAAAAGAAAGGGAAAATTTGCAACCCTTTCTTTTATGTAATGATGTAAACTCTTCTGCAGCATAAGTAGTGTTCATCTGTTTGCATTCCAACTTGTAACTTGTTTCTTCCCACATTTTGAAAAGCGTCGACAAAGGCTTGTTTAGAAGGACATCTCCTTTTTCATTTCTTACAGTCACCTTTAAAAAAAAATAATTTAAAAAAATTTTATCCCAACTCACTATGATGATAAAAGAAAAAAATCGAAAGGTATAGTAATCACCAAAGAATCCATTCCGTATCCAACTGCCTGTCCAATATTCACACAGTTGACCGACTCTTTGTTATATGCATTGCAGACGAATTCGACATTTTCAGGTGAAACTTCGAGAACCCAGCCGACTTCTTCGGCGAAAAATTGTTCCAAAGCTGATGCGGAACTTGTGTCGAATTGAAGCTGAAGGCCAGATAATCCGCCGAAAGCCATCTCAAGGACACATGTCAATAATCCACCATCGCTAACGTCATGCCCTGACAAAACCTTTTTATCTAAAAAAGACAAACGATATATCAAAATGTGGTGTGAACAAAACATAAATTGTTGGTCAGAAGTCAAATTACTTCTATAAATTCTGCTCTTATTAGAACCTTTTAGCTGGGGTTTTGCAGGTTTATAATTAAAAACGCAAAAATAATTAATAAATATACTAACCAGCTATTAATTTTTGGGTAACATTAAATGCTTTTTTAAACTTGTCAGGTGACTCGACGTCAGGAACGTTTTTACCAAGTTGATTAAAGCACTGTGCAAGAGCACTACCACCTAAGCGGTGGTAGTTTGAAAGTGAGACCCAGAGAAGAACTCCAACTTGGCCCATTAACGGGTTTTTCATGTCCGGAGTAACTTTACAATTCACATTTGGACATGGAGCATATGTCGACACGACCAATGTACCTGAAAATTTAAAAGTACAAGTTTAAAAGATCCTTCTATCAATTTTAGTAATTGTGATATTTGAGGAGGCCTGTTCACCTGGTGCTTTGACTGTTTTTCCACTGACTCTAGCGGCCATGCTAAGAGAATCTTTTCCTCCGTCGACAGCAACGCCAAGTTGTGACATAAAAGTACACATAGCTTCACACGCTCTGTATAATTTAGCGCCTTCCCCTGGCAATTTGGCAGCCCACATCCAATTACCAGAACATTTGACGTCCTAACAATTATAATTTTAAGTTGTAAATAAGTACTAAAAAACTGTTCAATTTATACCTCATGGCATAATTCATTTATTACATAGTTCAAACATGGAAGCAGCCTCAAAGTAACAGTCAAAATATAATAATAGTAATAATAATACATTGGGTAAAAACATTGTACAAAAAGTAAACAAACATGAAAACAGTCAAAAATATACATGTGACTAGAAATAAGGAAAATCAAAGATTAAAATTCATTCTTCAAGGGTAACATCCATATTATTCTAAATTTTTTTGTGGTCCGCTTGACCAATTAATATCATTCAATTAATTAAGGTTTTAAGTTGAGATAAAAAATAATAATAATTGAATGATATTAATTGGTCAAGCGGACCACGAAAAATAGTGAATTTAATGAATTAAAATGAAGTACATCTTCACTAAAGCTCTCCGTGGCCATTTCACTTGTCGCCGAGAATCAAATAGATTACACGACATTTGAAAAATGGCAAAAAGGTGAGAAAATTCAAAAGGTGCGGTTGAGATGGGAAGTTAAGTGTCCGAGAGGATCGAAGTCACGATAGCTCAAGTGGTAGAGCAGCAGCTTATCAAGCCGAAGATTGTGGGTTCGAATCCCGCTCATGACACTGACTTTTATCTCAACTTAAAACCTTAATTAATCCATATTATTCCTTAAAAACTCAAAAACCTTTCTTTTAAAGGCCACCTGACTGTCAATAAATGGATCAATGCATAACACATTCAAAGAACGGGCAATTCTATAAACACATTTCGTGGATGAGAGATTGGTTCTGCAAGAGGAAATGTAAAACAGTTCAGTCACTCACAAACTTCGGTTAGGCACGCTTAAGCTGATAGAATTTCTGGAGCATCAATAAAAGCATTTAAAATCTTCCATCCAAATAGCGAAAAAGCAGCACAATGACGAGTGACTAAGGAGTCCATATTCAATGCGTGTAGGGATGCAGAATACGTAGTGAAGTTAGGACCAGATTTAAACATTAGGTATTTGGTAGCTTTTCTCTGAATCTGAATCATTTGAATGTGCTTTATTATAAGTAGGCCAAATTAAATCACCGTATTCAAGAATACTCCTAACCAAAGAATGATTTAATGTTTTGAAAAATTACAATTAATTAAGGTTTTTAGTTGAGATAAAAAAGTCAATGGCACGGGCGGGATTCGAACCCACGATCTTCGGCTTGATACGCCGCTGCTCTACCACTTGAGCTATCGTGACCTCGATCCACTCGGACACTAACTTCCCATCTCAACCCCACCATTTTGTGTTTTCCCTCCTTTTTGCCATTTTTCAAAAATTCAAAAGGTGCAGTTGAGATGGGAAGTTGGTGTCTGAGTGGATCGAGGTCATGATAGCTCAAGTGGTAGAGCAGCGGCGTATCAAGCCGAAGATCGTGGGTTCGAATCCCGCTCGTGCCATTGATTTTTTTATCTCAACTAAAAACCTTAATTAATTGTAATATATCAATTGGTCAAGCAGACCATGAAATTAGTGAATTAAAAATTTTGAAAAATCAGACATATGTTTAATGAAACCTAAGTATGCTCTATTGAACATGTATGAATAATGATCCTCGAAGGTACACTTCTCGTTAAAGACCCCCCCCAATCAGTAACCACGAAGACCTTTCCAAGAGGGACACCACCCAAGTAATATGATACGGAATACTATTCCGAGAAAGGAACCATTTTGCAAAGAAATGTAATGGCATTTATATAGATTAATTGACTGTACCAGTCATGAAAAGCAGAAATATCTTTTTGTAACAACAAACAAACATTAAACATAAAGATGCATTTGTAGATTTTTAGGTCATCAGCCAGTAAAGACACTTTAGAAAATTTAATTGAATTAGCAGCATCATTAAAGAAAATATTGAACAAGATTGGCCCTGAATGTGATCCCTGAGGGACTCCTGATCCCATAGATACCTTGTCTGAAACAAAACCTCTAAAATTAGCCTGAAAAGATCTACCAATCGGGAAAAGACAGCTCCAACTCAACAGAGGTTAACCAACCCCCAAAGTGCAACTTGAGGATCAGCACAAAATGATCCACTGTGTCGAAGGCTTTTGAAAGGTCAGTATAAACGGAATGAACCTCGTAGCCATCATCGAAAGCAGACAATATAAAACCTTTATAAAGGATTAAATTAATTGAGGTCCATGTTGATCTATGTAGAGAAAGTTTTTAAACGGGGACCGCGGTAGCCGAGTGGTTAGCATGAGAGACTCTCACGCCGCGGTCGTGGGTTCGATTCCCACCGTCGCCTCTGGCCCTTTTTTCACNACATATACGAATTGTCACATGGCTAATATGCATAGTTCATAACGAAAAAAAAAAAAAAAAAAAAAAAAAAAGTTTTTAAACGTGGCTGTTAAACGCACACTACAATAGAATCCACGACTTTAGCAATGGGAGGATTTATATAGGAAAAAACTGTTGGATTTATACCTCAAGGCATGATACTTTGGCGAACATCAGATTAGTTAGAGATTCCGCTACAGTCATCCTAGCGCCGGCTGCAGGATTTACCATTCCCTTGATGGGCTGTTCACCGATGGCAGTCACCATACCCTCCTATGTAATATAAAATAACTTTTTAGCAATCTAATACATATGTATTATTTTCAGTTTAAAGGATACTTACTACATTGAACATTGAAATGGCAGTGACTGCGTAATCGGCCAATGGGGTATGAAGTGGACCTACGCATTGCTGTTGTGCTATTAGACCTGTTACACAACGGTCGACTTTGTTCGTTAAAAACCGCTTACTGCAAACTGTGGATAATCTGAGAACTCTATCGAGGGCAGCTTCAACGGTGAGCCCTCTTGGGAATTTTAATTCTTCGAGAGTTAGTTGCTCTTCAAAGAGATGGAACTCCTGCATATGAAATTATTTGTATTTCATCTGTGGTTATTTTCATTTTAACATAAATTAATACCTTTCTAGGCATTTTGCCTAAGACTAGCTCTAAATCTAAATTAAACGGATGTGTCACTTTATCTTTTGTGTACTTGTCTGTTAAATACTTATTTTCATCCATTACGTCTTCTTCACTGAGGATCATCTAGAAAATAAAAAAGTTCCTAATTCTCTTTATGTCCTTATTATAGCATTCTTCATTCAGCGTTTTTCTATCAAATTAACCCTTTTTAAACTTCAAATTAACCTTTTTAATTTCAATTTAACATTTTTTTTACTTTAAAATTAAGCTTTTTAATTAAAAATTAACTTTTCTCTTCAATTTAACCTTGTTAATTTAAAATTAACTTTTTTACTTCAATTTAACCTTTTAATTTCAAATTAACTTTTTTACTTCAAATTAAAAAGCAAGGAAAAAGCTATATATAGTAAAAATCAAATTTTAGTTTTTCATTTGTTTTCACCTTGCCATTTCCAGTTACGACACCAACTACATCAACTGGACACCTCTCTCTTCTTGATAATTTTTCCAGTTTGCTGACATTGTTGGGTAATAAGAGGACTGCGTCATTTTCTTGATACTCTGCTCCCCAAAGTTCCATTGTACTGACTGTGTCGTCTCCCAAGGTGAAAGCATTACAGAATACTACTGCTCCTTTAGGTTCGACCAGCTCTTTCAGAACATTTCCTGGGGGGAAAAAATGTATTCTTTGAAATTACTCCACAGTAAGCATTCAAGTTTTGAAGCACATTTCTATCAAATTTTAAAAGTCGCCTCATAGTCCAATTAGTTATATCTTATTTATTCATTTATTTATAGCACCGCACTTGGAGGACACTTTGAGGAATTAAGGGCAAGGAGGTCTCATCATCGTCGTTTAAAGTGATGTGGCCGATTCTCAGGATAGACACTTGGGGAGAGGACTTGGGCAGTAGGTTAAAATTAAAGCTTTCGGATGCAGGATCAGATCAGATTGTTTATAAAAGGGATGAGGTCCTTATGGATAGTAACACAGTAAGGAGCTTTGACAATTTTTTGTTTGTCAAGTAAGGATTCTAAGCCTTTTGTCCACTGCGACCTGCATAGTCTACTATGGAACCCCTATAAAATAAAGCCATACTTTGAAAAGTGCACTTTTTGCTATCACTTTCCAAATTCACAAAGGATATATGTCAATTTCTCTGGTTTCTCCTGACAAAGTCTCTGCTTTTCCCATCTTCTTTAGGTAGAATTTAAGAGGGCAGTAGCCAATATAAAAGCCTACAATTTTCTCAAATTCTTCTTTTTTGAGAGATTTATAAATTAGCTTGCCTGGTGTTTTTGTCCAGTGCTTACCGTATTCCCGTAATTCACTTGTATGCATCTTTCATTGGCATTTAGTTTAAAAAGAGAATTTGACATTGTTTACCTTGATAATTAGCTTCAGAGGAAAGGATCAAATGAATCTTTACAAAGAAGAATGAAGAGTAGAAATTGCCAATTATTTGCTGAATTAAGTGACTAAGATCACAGCTGGATTTTTCCAGGCCAATGTTCGAAAAGACTTTACAACAGCAACTTTCAAATAGTTTATCTTTTTACTTAATGAATTATTTTAAATAGTTTTAAAATCGCAATGCCAAAAAATGTATATTCTCTTCTAGAAATAAATCATTCAGAAAAAATAAATTACCATTTCCTCCAGCCCCTTGGTCGTGAATACTGCATATTGGATTTTCACTACTATCTTCTATACAGGCTCTAATTATTCTGTTTAATTTGTTTCCCATTTCTGCATCACCACGCTGTACAGCTCCAAAATCTAATTCAGATTGATTATCACCTTGCACCTGGAATCATGAAATTCAAGATGCAAAATTCTAAATAAAAAAACATACTAGTCTATTTACTTGAACAGAACTGGCTGAACCACCTCCAACACCGATACGGTAAACAGGTCCACCAATTTTTACAACTTTCATACCTACAATATTACAATCATGGTAGAATAGTCAACAAAAAGTTTATTTATTTATTTTTTAACTACTTACCCTTTTCTGGAACATATTTATCGACCATACTAGCCTCCATTGATCCAATTCCACCGCTGAACATTATAGGTTTGACCCATTCGTATCTTGTCCCGTTACTGTCATTCATACCAAACGCTCTAGTGTAACCGCAGATCAAAGGTTCACCAAATTTATTACCATAATCAGAAGCACCATTACTAGCTTCGACGAGGATTTTTAAAGGTGATGCCAGATTGTCTGGATATTCACAGCTTTTGTCCTCCCAAGGCTGTTCATAACCTGAAAGTGTTTTATTCAATAATTTTTCTTGTAACAAATCACAATTATTTTTTGAAACTGTTTATACATCAATAATTTAAGGCGTTGAAATCTCACATTAGAAATGCGGTTTGGGGGTTTGAATCCTAGCAATGCAATTGGAAATTTATACAGTAAATATTGTTGAAATAGTCACTACAAGAAGAGGGAGTGTACTTGGAAAATTCTAGTGTTAGGTGATCAGGACATATATATATTTTATCTGGGAGTTATTTTTACACTTTGTTTATCCATATCTGACAACCTGGACAGTAGAATTTCTGATGCAAAAACAGGCTTAAGTGCATTTGGGTAAATCTGGTACTCTCAGAGTAAGTCTCCTAGGCATATAGTAAATAAGCGATCAGATTTTGTTGTGTGAAACAGAATCCCATTTAACAAGAGCAGTTTGAAGCTGTTCAATGTTTGCTGGTGACAGCGAAAGATGTTAAATGACATCTCTTTATCATGTCCCATAAGTGTTCTATTGGTTTCATGTCAGGAGAGCATGCTGGTTAATTCATCATGGCAATCTCTACATCCTCAAATTAATAAGTGACAAGATTCTGAATGATAATCAGTTCAGTATGAGCATGGACATTGATTCCATCACATATTATAACTAAAGCATATGCTCTTCTCATCTTCTCCATACAATTCCAGTCATGTGCCACAAACCATACTGGCACTCTGTGATTGTTCCCCCCATTGTTCAACTGCCCAAGCAAGGTGCTGATTTGCGAATAGTTGCCTTTTTACTCGATGCCTCTCCAGTAGTAGAGAACCTGAATCGTCTTCTTAGGCTATTCTCACGAAGCTGTTTTAGAGCACAGACTTATATTACGGACCGTTTGGAGTTGATTACTTATCAAAGAAGCCGTTAAATAACGGCTCCTAGTGCGGTAAGAGCAATAAAACAATCGTCTCTAGTCACCGTACATCATGGCCAACCACATCTCTTCAATCAAAACTTCCGGTGACTCTAAACCACTGTATACCATCATGGATGATAGAGCATGGCAAACCAGCACTTCGGTTATGTAACGGATGCTAAGTTAACCATCAAAGTCTTAACCATTGTATCCACAAACAAAGAAAACTCAATCCAATGTAATACTAAAAAGTTTTGGAATTATGTGAATTCTGTCAACACTTCTAAGGCCATGCCCTCTTTCATGCGGAAATGAATCTTCATCTAATGGCCATGATATTGCTAATCTCTTTGCTAAATATTTCTCCCAAGTCTATGACCATAGTTCTGATCTTCCCACTTCCCTACCTGAAACAACCTCTCTCCTTATGCTATCTTCTTATTCTATCTCTAATTACTATATCTCACACAATGAAATACTAAATTCTATCTCATTACTCAACGTGAAAAAGTCTTCTGGTCCCGATTGCATACCCCCTACATTAGTTAAAAATTGTTCTGCGGCTCTTATTGCTCCTTTACACTATATTCTGTCGTTAAAAACAGGTATTTTCCCCAATGCTTGGAAAAGCACTTTTGTCATTCCTCTACATAAAGCTGGCGATAGATCTAATGTTTTCAATTACAGACNATAAATGAAGGTTCCTTCACTGTATTCTTCTTTGAGGGCCAGGAATTTAGCTTTGAATACATATGGGGGGGTCTCTTCTTTCTTCAATTCCGCCATATCTACCCGATTTATATTTACCATTTATATTATTACCATGTATATACGTCCTTATTCTTTTTATATATATTATTTATATTTTTACATATATCATTTATATTTTTTGTTATTGTAAAATGTCTTTTTTATAGTGGATTTCGATCTGTAAATAAATAAATAAATAAATCTAACCCTAACAGGGGGATGTTAAGCCCTCCTGTACGAAAGGAATTTCTTTACTTTCCTTTTTTTTGTTACATCATTAACTTTGATAGAAAGCACAACTTTTTATAGAAACTTTCAGAATAAAGTCAATGAAAAAGTTAAAACAGTTCAAGTTGAATTACCTGGCATCAATAGATTTCCAACCGAATATCCCGCAGTACCTGCGATGCAGTTACCTCCTCTTCCGACAGCTTGGACATCTCTAATTCTTCCTCCAGTTCCAGTTGTAGCTCCACTAAAAATGTTTAAAAAAAAACAGTTTATACCAATACGAATGGCGTTGATATGATCAACCCGTACCTAAAAGGGGCGACACCAGTTGGAAAATTGTGCGTTTCAGCAGTGAAAATGATATGAGTTATACTAATAAATTCATCAAAAGCACTCGGTTCCCCAACAACTTTTGGTCTAAGTTTTTTTATAATAAATCCTTTGATTGCACTGAAATTCAAAATAAATTACTTGATATGAAACAAAATGTATATATATCATTTAATCAAATAAATTATGCTGACTTAAAAGTTATAAAGATTTACTTTAAACAAAAATAATAATTAGTAGTAGTTTGCGTATGTTCTTACCTACTATTATCGCTGAATTTTATAACATTGTTCGGATTAGAATGTTTCTGAGTATCAATGATCATGTCGATGAGTGAATATTGCAGGGGTTGTTTATTCAATACCATTTTGCCCTAAATCATTAAGTTACTATTAATATTTTCATCAAGGCAAAAGTCTTCAAATAAAATATAAAATTTTCATAATAGTTTTTTTTTCTTACCTTAAAAAACCAATGTCTGCTATGTTCACTATTGGACTGGGCCATATCAAAGCATTCCACAGTTGTCGGATTTCTTTTCAAAGTATTTCGGAACATGTTGGTGTAGAAATCTAAATCCCAATCATCAAATGCCAGTCCTAAATTTAAAAACAAGTTTTATGTTCTGCTAACATTTACAAACATGTAGATCTTTTAAAGTAGATCTTTTTTAAAAAATAGAGCTCACATAGTCATGTAAGATTGTAGTTAAAAATAATGCCAAAAATTTTATCTTTAGGACAAAAATTAACAAGGGAGACATTGATATGAGAAGGGGATAGGCAATCTGCATTAATGGGTTGATTGGAAATTAATAAGGTCTGGGATTTGTTAAGGTTTAAAAGAATGCCATTTCTTGACTGTCGATTGACAGAGACAGCTTCAGATATGTTGCTTTAGGACATTGACTGTAAAGATAATTGACATCAGCATAAAGATGAAATTGGGAGAAAGAGAACTAATGGGAGATCATTTAGACACACGGAAAAGAGTATAGGTCTAAGAATAGAGCCTTGGGATATACCAGATGAAATTGAGAGAGAAGAGGAGATAGACTTTGAAGCTTTAACTCTCTGAATTCTGTCAAACAGATAGCAGGAGATTAGTAGCAGTAGTAGAAAAACAAAAAATATGCATGTTTCCAAATAAACAAATTATGATTTACGAAGGCAAAATCCATAGGAAAAATTAAATAGGACAATTATCATCAATGCCTAGGTGAATAACATTCGAGATTTTGAGAAGGGCTGTCTCACATGTGTGAAATTTTCTGAAGCCAGCTCGAAGAGGGGATATAAGGTAGTCTATAAATAAAGCAATTTGTTTAAATAAAATTTTCACAAATGCTTTAGTGATGGAAGAATACTAATCGGGCGGTAGTCACTAACAAGGGTGGGTTTAGGTTTCTTGGGTAAAACAGCTATTAGAGCTTCAAACAGGATAAGACGAGAGAGAAGTTCAAAATACGGGTTATGAATTTCAAAGTGACAGGAAGGGAAAAAATGTTACGTTTAGTAGAAGCAAGATCGGAATCTGTAGCATTAAATTTAATTGAAAGGTTGGCTTCTAAAACATTTTCGTGATTAATATTTGAAAAACTAAAGGACAATGGTGATCATGAGCAGGAAATGAAGTTTTAGTTTAGAGGGAAGAAGACATGGAAGCAAAAAACATGTTTAATTCATTAACGTCTGGGCATGAATGAGAACCGTCTTCTTTGTTTTTAAGACCCAAGTTTCCTAATGTTCCATAGTGACTTAAGCATGATCGAGCAGTTTATGAAAAGTCATTTTCTGTGATTACCAGACTAGATTTCTCACTTTATTTCTTAGAATTTTCAATCTAGTTACGTCCAATGGATCCCTGGTGGATTTCCATTTGTTGTATGTTCAACCACGAGATTTAAAAGCTAGATTAAATCTGTGAGAAAACCAAGGTATAGCAGGGTGAGAAATTTTAATCTTCATTAATGGAGCTACTAAGTTCAAAACAAAAAGGAAATGATTAATTATTTAGGATGGGTAACATTTCATTAACATTGAAAGTGGGATCCCAATTTAACTTTGAAATGACAATTGAGTTGAATTAGAGTGTAATTTACAACATTAAATTTACTGATGAGTAAATTTAAAGGATGGAATACAAACTGTTAACAAGTGCATCTTATGAGCAGAAACAGATGGGGTATCAAAGCATTGGAAATTGTTAATACATAAAGGATTATTAGTGACCCAGATTGATTAAGAACTGGGAATTAGGAAGCACATGTGTTGGACAGGAAGGCAGAATAGAATGTGAACGCAAATGAGATAAATTAACCTTTTTTAACTTCAATTAACCCCTTTTAATTTAAAATTAACACATTTTAATTTGAAATGAAGCCTTTTTAACTTCAAATTAGCCCTTTTTAATTTCAAATTAACCATTTTTAACTTCAAATTTGCACTTTTTAATATCAAATTAACCATTTTTAACTTCAAATTTACACTTTTTAATTTCAAATAAACCATTTTTAATTTCAAATTATCCCTTTTTAATTTCAAATTAGCCCTTTTTAATTTCAAATTGACCATTTTTAACTTCAACTTAGCCCTTTTTAATTTCAAATTAAACCTTTTTAACTTCAAATTATCCCTTTTTAATTTCAAATAAACCTTTTTAATTTCAAATAAACCTTTTTTAAGTTCAAATTAGTCCTTTTTAATTTCAAATTACCCATTTTAACTTTAAATTAGCACTTTTTAATTTCAAATTAACTCTTTTAAACTTCAAATTAACTCTTTTAAACTTCAAATGAGCCCTTTCCTAAAGCATGAAAAAACTTAGATGATATGAATATAAGAATATAAAGTGATATTCCTGTATATTTGCTAATTTTTAAAAATGTAAACTATGTGTAAGGTAGATTTAGTATAAAATGGGTGTAGTTATTAAATTATAAAAAGTAATTCCTCACCCAATTCGTCGTTCACTTCCTCGAGGGCTTTTCGTCCTTTTGACATCACATCCACAACAGACCACTTAGCTGGAACTATTCCATGATCAAAGTTTTTAATTGGCTCGTTATAACGACATTCAGTCATCCGATCATGCAAAACTTGGGTCAACTTGAAAAATAAAATTTAACAAAATCTAATAAGCTGATAAATCCTAATTTTATTAGATTTTTATGTAATGGATAGTTTTGTATATTGGTTCAAATGCTCACCTGTTCTTCTACGTTTGATGAAACAACTGAGTCTAAGTAAACCAGATATCTTATAGTTGTCTCAAATCGAACCACTTTATGCAATCCAATCGCATTGCACATAGATAAGGCATTACTTGAAAATGGTGTTGAGAAATTTAACCTAAAAATTTGAAATATGTAAAATGAATTAAATTCTACGAAATTCTGTGAACTGGGATTTTTAAAACGCCTTTACAAAGGAAAAAATGTTTTAGCTCTTTGTAAAAAAGTTTACCAACACACCTTGGTCCGATTTCAATAAGTAGTTGTTTCTTATTTGCAGGAGTCAGCGTCGGGCTGTTTTGAACTTTCCAATTTTCAAACGGCGAGCTAATAAGCCAACACAGTCTTTCTAGTTCGGCCTCTAACAGCCTCTCGGAGACTTCGACATTGTAGCAAATTTCAGTATTTAAGTTAGCAACCTGATCGGACACTTCCTTCAGCTCCTTCAGCTTTTCCAACCTATTTCCATTGCTTACTCCATTGCTGGAATAGAAGTGAAGTACCACCATCTGGAAAATACAAGAAAATGAAATCAAAATTACATTCAATTTTTACTGTTATCGTATTGTAAATTTCAAGAGATCAGGCACAATCAATAATAGTATAAATAAATCTTATCACAAAGGATCGAACATTGATAAATAATTCATTTCTTGAAATGAAAATCAAGCATGTTACACATGACACAAGTCGTCCAGCAACGACAGACACTCCTAGATTGAGTCACTCAATCTCTCAAGAGAAATTTTGACCATAACTTAGGGACAAGAAAGTTGTTAAATAAGTGGATTGGGACAAAAGTGTGAATTTTTATGGAAATTTTTGTATCGGGATTTAATAATATCAATTAAAAAGATGATAGATATGAAGGTCATTGTGGATTTTTTGGTCTGAAATGTATGATAGTTAAAGTTTAAAAAGTTCCTCCAAAAGTTAACCTTAAATTCGGTATGTCCATGTTAGTCACAGGTTTTTTCTTTCTTCAGGGTCACTGATGACGAAAGTTTTTCTTTCTTCCACTCCAATTTAAAGCAGTTTAAAATTTTAATTAACAATTTAAAAGTCAAGTTCTTCCACTCCAGTCAATTGTGGAATTGACATTAAGGTAGTTTAGCACTTTTCAGGTTCTACTTTGCTTTAGGTGTTTAATCTCCTATATATAATAATTCTATCAAAAGAGAATGGGGCATTTCCATTGTTCTAATTATGATTGAACTGAACTAACGAACTAGGACTTAACATAAATTAGCAACCTGTGTATTAGTTAGGGAAAGGAATTGTACCCATGACACAATGACTTATTCCTTCTTAACGAAAGTATTGAGTTGATTGAACTGAAATAAGTTACTACGAAAGGTAAAACCAGAAGGCTGCAGTGGTTTAGGATCATAAATCCCCCACTTCCTAGTCACCATCCATCATCAATAATGTATAAATTATGGTGATGCGCAGATGCACAAAAACTACAGACCTCCCGTAAGTAAATTAAATTTGCAACCTGTGTATTAGTAAAGGAAATGAATTGTACCAATGACTTAATTCTCATTAACAGAAGGATCGAGTTGATTGAACTGAAATGAGAAACTAGGAAAAGTAAAACCAGAAAGCTGCAGTGGTTTAGGATCAAAATCCCCCCCACTTCCTAGTCACCATCCATCATCAATGATTTATCCATTATCATGAGGCACAGATGCACGAAGAAACTGCAGACCACCCTTAAGAAAATTAAATTTGCAGCCTGTGTATTAGTAAAGGAAATGAATTGTACCAATGACTTAATTCTCATTAACAGAAGGATCAAGTTGATTGAACTGAAATGAGGAACTAGGAAAAGTAAAACCAGAAGGATGCAGCGCATCAGGATCATAACCCTTCCCATTTCCTAATCTCCCTTCATCATCAACGATTTAAACATTATGGTGATGCATAAGGATTCTTCGGAACTTTTCTGAGGTCAATTCACAACCTGTGTGAGTTATATAACTAACACTCTGTCAAGAACAAGAAAAATTCATTTGACTTTAAACAGATATATTTGATTTCCACTTATGAAAAGGTCAAGTATAGAGAGGTTAGTCTTACTGGTACAAAAATTGAGGTCTACAGTCTAACCTCTCTAGGTCAATTTTTTTTCATTTCTTTAGAAATTCAATTGCGGTAAAAATGCATTTGTTACATTCTTATAATATAATTTTAAGAATAGTGGAATCAAATTCTCAACGAATCATTTTATTATTATGGCATTTTTATCAAATATTATTTTTTTCTCGTTGGAAGACGAAAAAAAATCTTCCATTCGACACTGGACAAAAGGCTAGGTGTATAAATCGATCAAATTTCAATTAATTTTTTTTAAATTGACTATATATTGCAATACATTTAGCCGATTCCGCCGATATCAGGTTGAAGTGTGACAATTATTTATTACCGGTCGAAAAAAGATTTAAAAAAAAAAAAATTAAAAATCGTGTACTTGCCTCGGCTTGTTGTTCACGTTTGTTTATCTGTGAGAGATGCTCTCAGAAGCTCAAGGGCCAACGGAATGGTCTGACAATTTACATACGATCGAGTTTCTAATATCTAGGGGCTAAAAAGGTTATCGATTTAGCGTCATGTGAGATAAGGCGATAATTTTAAAAAATCACAGTCCTATCTGGCGATAATCCGACGTCGGAAAGGAATTCTCCCGGCGAGAACGAATAATAAATTATCCTCGATTTATCGGCTAGGTGAAAGACGTAGGAGAGAAAGAGACGAGATTAAACGTAACGGGGTTGGAAAGAAAAAATGACCAAAAAAAAAATGAAGAATGAAAAAAGACGAAAAGAGAAAATGGGCCAAACGGCAAACTCGAAGAGACATCGACAGGTGGTCAGGCGGCAAACGCGACTCTTATTACACGCTGACATTCTACAGTCCATTCTTTATTTTTCCCAAAAGAAAATGATTTTTCTGAAGAAAAAACAACAACAAAAAATCCCTACTTTCCAGACTTAAAAATAACATTCAAAAGATATCAAGTTAAATTGGCAATTTCAAGGCTGATCAGATATCAAATCCGATACCAGATAATTTTTATTTATCGTTACTCAACTGTGTACACACTACGAGAAATTAGGTTTAAAATTCCTTCTTTTTATACTAGAGGGTAAAAAATGAATAACGCCCAGTCGACAGGCAATAACGCGGTTTATTACCTCAGAGTTTGTATTATAAAATAAACCGACGACTGATAAAAATTCACAATAACTGGCTAAATTGGCCGAATTACAAAGATGTAACAATCAAAAGTGTGGCCAGAGGATCGGCAAGGCCATAAAATTACAGGGCCTGAATCTATAATTTTGCAAGTTGACAAAAATAGACATAGAATCCTCCAACTCAGAATGGATCCCAAGAAGAAAAACGTGGAACTCTAAAGATGCTAAACATAACAACCTTATGACTAGCAAGAGACAAAAAGTCACAGTGCCCAATGACACAGATATACCAATCAAAATTGTGGCCAGAGCATCTGCAAAACCGTAAAATTGTAGGCGCTGAGTGTATAATTTCACAAGTTGACAAAAACAGACATAGAATCCTCAATCTCAGAGTGGATCCCACAAAGACAAAAGTGGACAAACTCTAGAGGGGCTAAACATAACAACATTATAACTAACGACAGAAAAAAAGTCACACTAACTGGCTAACTTGGATGAATTACCATATATATCCCATTTCCATCCTCTCAAACCTGTCCAAGCCTCTAGAAAGATTAGTCCAAGCACAAGTCTCCAGGTACCTTGAACAGTCCCATCTTCTCAATCCCCTCCAATCTGGCTTCCGCCAAGGTTATTCCACCCAATCAGCACTAATAAAAATCACCAGTGATCTCCACTTAGCAATGGACCAACGGAAAGTTACTATACTTGTCCTTCTTGATTTTTCTAAAGCCTTCGATTCTGTCCCTCACTCTTTTCTTTTGTCTAGACTCGAATCTTTTTCCTTCTCCGCCAGCACCATCCGTTGGTTCCACTCCTACCTTACCAATCGCCACCAAGCAGTCTCCCTTCCCAATGGCCTTATCTCCTCCTTCCTCCCTCTAAAATCTGGGGTGCCCCAAGGCTCTAGCATCTCTCCTATCCTTTTTTACATTTATATCAATGGCCTGCCCGACTCCATCCAGTCCTGTAACTATCACCTATATGCCGATGACTCCCAAATATACATATCCTTCCACCCTTCCGATCTTCACTCGGCCACTCTCAAGATCCAAAAAGACCTAAACTCCATCAACGAATGGGCCCATAAAAATTCCCTAGTCCTCAATCCGTCCAAATCCACCGCCATAATTATCGGTCCAGGCAACTCCTCAATTCCCTCCTCAGCATCCCACCTCTCATGCTAAATAACCATCCCATCCCCTTCTGCTCTTCGGTTAAAAACCTAGGAGTAGTCTTTGACCAAAACCTTTCCTGGCATTCTCACATTTCCCAAATTTCCCGCCATTCCATTGCCTCCCTCAGCTTGTTTCGTCGATCCTGGTTTCTCTTACCTTTCTCCACCCGCAAACTCCTTGTATCTTCCCTTATACTTCCCTTCTTCGATTATAGCTGTTTGGCATTCAGTGGTCTCTCGGAGGGGGAGAACGCGCGATTGAAGCGTATTATGAATTGTTGCATAAGATTTGTGTACGGCACCCCACAGGGATCCTGGGTGTCGGGGTTGTATTCCCAACTTTCCTGGCTATTCCCCTCCTTCCGTGCACAGTATTTCCTAGGTTGCTTTCTCTTCCAGTCCATCAACACTCGTCGTCCTCCTTACATCATCCAATCCCTCCAATTCAACTCCTCACATCTCACTCGTAAGACCCACCATCCCCAATCGACCTTATCCTTCCGCAACATACAACCCATACCTTCGAAAGATCCTTTCTGATCCGAGCCCCTAAACTCTGAACTCCCTTCCCTTTTCTATTCGTCACACTGCCTCCTTTTCTTCCTTTAAAACCTGTATAATCACCTCCTCTCCCTCCAAGCAGAGACATTTGTTATTTTTGTTTAATATTCTCATAATTTTTTCTTCTGTCCTGCCTTATTGGTATACATTGTGCCAAGATTTCTATCTTTTTTTTTACTTTTAACTTCATAGAAGGAACTTCCTTTATTTATTTCATGTAAATTATTCTTAGGAGACACCAATCCCAGAATAAAGTTATTTTTCTTCTTCTTCTTCTTCACAGTTGTGGCCAGAGGATCTGCAAATCCATATAATTCTTTGTCCTGAATCTATACTTGGGATGACAAAAACAGACATATTATCCTCCATCTCAGAATGGATCCCAAAACGACAAAAGTGGACAAACTCTAGAGGTGCTAAACATAACAATCTTATAAGTGACAACAGACAAAAAGTCGCAGTGACCGGCTGAGTGCCCAGTTACACAAATATACCAATAAAAGGTGTGGCCAGAAGATCGACAAGGCCATAAAATTGTAGGGCCTGAATATATAATTTTACCAATTGACAAAAACAGACACGGAATCCTCCATCTCAGAGTAGATCCCATAAAGACAAAACTCTAGAGGTGCTAAACATTACAACTTATGTCTAAAGACAGACGTAAAGTCACAGTGACCGGCTGATTGCCCAATTACCCAGATATACTAATCAGTAGAAATTACAAGTAATTATACAACAATTCATCTTAAATTAACCTATTCTCAGTTACACTCTGTGTGCAACTACTACTCGATTAGTATTACAATGTTCTTTTGATTCGCAAGTCTTATTTAGTCTTCACTGTGTAGCGTCAGTATCCCTGATATTTCCGGGCAGCTTAGCTAGTTCTATTAGATAACTCCTCCACCCATAAATTGAGCTACCTTGAAAGCATGTGCAACACTGTGAGGTTGGCTGATGGTGATGAGGTAGAAGGCTGCTATGCTGAACCGAATGGCCAATAGTCCATAAAGGGTTAATATCCGTAAAGATGGCACTGCAATTCTGTCTCTTAACTTGAATCCTATCCAAGCAACCTTCTACATCTAAGAAGTTAAATTCATTGACGTGCAGCAACTAGTAGACATCATGGCCAGCATTCCACAAGAGTGCATTCTTGGTATACCAACTATACTGCTGACTTTCCTACATTTTTTTATAGGGTCACTTCATATCGTTCAATTAATGTATAAACTTTGATTTCAATTTCTTAAGTTACAATTTCAACAGACATTCAAATCATGACGCGTGGTTGATGGCAGAACAATTCATATGGAATCCGATCTGTTACTGGCTGTAAACCGTTTTCCTCTAAGATGTAATTACTATTATAATTCCTTCCAATTTCTAATTAATATATTAAAATCCTAAGTGCGGTATTTCTAATCACATTAGGAAATATTTAAAAACTTCCTGACAATTATTTTTTACCTATTTTCACATTTATGAAATTTAATTATTATTTCATTTATTAATTCAATAATATAACTAAGATAATTGATTAATTCATTAACCATGGCAACCTAACATTTATAAAAAAATATTTCAGTGATGATTTAGATGTAGGATAAATTTATGTGATATTTAAATTCAACATGGAGGCAAAAACTGTCGCTGACTTTTTTTATCGAAGGTGGAGAAGGCAAGGAGCAGTAGAAGTTCACTGGAGAACGCTCGATGACGCGTGTACTTTGCACGGGGAAGTTGACCAACTTAAAGTCGAAGACATCGGATTTCACAGGGATTCGGACGAAAGCGTCGATGAGGAAGAATGTCCAGACGAGAAGAAAAATTTCACGCTAGACAGCAGCGAGTCCGAGATGTCAGAACCTATACCGTTTATCCAATCGAAAAAACATACGTTAAAATATCTCCCTCAATTGGAAAATACAGACAATATATGGTATACGGAGAAAGACGAACTGGTTAAAAAGCCAGATATTGAAATTCAACATGAGTCCGAGGAGAAAAAAAAAATCAAGGCTCCACCAGCAGGTGCTAGTATAACATCTGCAGAAGAGGAACGAAAAAGCGAAGTAGAAAAGGTGATAGAGAAAAAAGAAAGATCAATGTGGGATGAATTTTTACAAGATGAATGGAAAGAATTAGAACCCTCAAGTGACCAACTAATTAGAGAAGTAAAACAAAGAAGAACTTCTCTTCCATTTAAGCCCACAGTGCATCCCAGAACTTACAAAAATTTTACTTCGAGATATGTGGATTGGATTCAAGCACCTGTGAGTATCACTTTCATCATCCTAAAATATAACAAACTACTATTAAGAATATTATTTTATAATAGTTTCCAAATGTACAAAACTCATTATTTAATATCCCTTCATTAGAAAAAATATTCATGATTACATTGACTACAATTAATCACAAAATGACTTAAAGTCTTGTGCATGTATAAATTCGAGGCTGTCTTTCAATTGTCATATAAAACAAGAAAGATGATGAAAGATAAGAATGAAGCGCTATAAAGAGCTTTGCAGCGAGCTCGACCACAGAATCTGTAGCTATATTGAAGAACAACCCATGCCGTTTTAGACTACGGCTCCATGATATGCAGCAAGGCAAAAGATAACCTAAAGGTTCTAAACACCTTACAACCACAATCAGAATAAGCTTACGTGCTCTGAGATCAACACTAGTTAATGTCTTCTCTCCAGCTTAAAGAAGAAACTGGTTGAACACCAAGTTCTCATTAAAAATACTAATAACATACAGCCACTTTATTATATTGTCAAAATCAACATGCTGCAAGAAATAGCAGATAGCATTTCCAATGACCTTCTATTCTTTAAAAGAAGGATTGAGTCATATGAACTGAACTAAGGAACCTGAAAGTACAATAAGCCAAAAGGCCGCAGTGCTTGGGGAATACCAAATTATCATCATCATCAAAGTCTCTCATCGTGGTTCAGGAAGACAGGGTTAAACAGAATAAATACTGAGTCTTAGGTACCAAATCTTGTCTGTAGTGGAAGGAGGATATTATTTAAGTGGAGGAGGGATCTTTTGCTGAGAGTGAAGCTTATGTGGGTTGAATTTTATTCTTTCCTTTTCACACCAAGATTCCAGTAGTGTGAAGTGTTGCTGAAGGTTTTGAATAAAAACAACAGGATCAGAGTTTCTGAAGAGTTTAGTGACTGAGCATGTGGGGGTTGGGGGAAGTTAGTGCCTTGGCAAATGGCAGCCTGGGCCACATCCAGACAATACAGTCTCAACTCAAGGGACGGCTGAAAAAAGCGTTTCTAGAACTTATACCTATAATCTGTGACAGATTGATGAAGTTGGTTGATTTTTTTTTTTGGGGGGGGAGGGGGAATTATATGGATATCGGATTGTTTCCAGGACATGTGAAATAGTACATTGAATAAAATTAAATACGTAGAAATGAATAGTATGGATTTCTTGGGGGCAATCAGGTCAAATCCAAGAGCTTTGTTAGGCTTGAGGTGGTGTATAGCATACTGACAGAGAAAACAGTTTGGAAGAAGAGATAAAAATGTAATTTAATAGTTAAATTCACTAATTTCGTGGTCCGCTTGACCAATTAATATATTACAATTAAGGTTTTTAGTTGAGATAAAAAAGTCGATGGAGCGGGATTTGAACCCACGATCTTTGGCTAGATACGCCGATGCTCTACCACTTGAGCTATCGTGACCTCGATCCACTCGGACATCAACTTCCTATCTCAACCCCACCTTTTGAGTTTTCCCTCCTTTTTGCCATTTTTCAAATGTCGTGTAATCATCATTCATTCATTAATGAATTAAAATGAAGTATACTTCACTAAAAGCTCTCCGTGGCCATTTCATTTGTCGCCGAGAATCCAATCCGATTACACGACATTTGAAAAATGGCAAAAAGGAGAGAAAATTCAAAAGGTGCGGTTGAGATGGGAAGTTGGTGTCCGAGTGGATCGAGGTCACGATAGCTCAAGTGGTAGAGCAGCGGTGTATCTAGCTGAAGATCGTGGGTTCGAATCCCGCTCGTGCCATTGACTTTTTTATCTCAACTAAAAACCTTAATTAATTGTAACAATTTAATACTATTCACATTAATACATGATAATTGCTACAAATCCAAACAAGTACAAACTTTCATTGGTGTTGTGCCTGAATAGTAATATTGTTTTATTTTTACTGCTTAACTTTATTTCCAGTTTTTATGTTGTTTTATTAAGATAGTTCAAGAATTTTCCTCGCATTTTGAGTGAATTCAAAATTGTTCCATTTCAGCTGGAATATTATGAGCCACTGTCAGTGTTACAAAAAATAGCCGAAGATTTTGAATATACAAAATTGTTAGATGCCGCAAGCAGAGTGCAAGACGAATTGAAACAAATATGCTATATTGGAGCATTTTCTGTAACTTCACTGGCCATGTCTCCTTTTAGGACAGCTTGGCAATTTATTCCACTTCTCGGTGAAACATATGAGCTCGATCGAACAGACGACTTAGGATGGTATCTGCTTTCAGAATGCGTCTCGATTAAACCTCCAATAATCGCTCAATTTTGTGTCTCAAAAGAGTGGATTTGTTTTCAACAATTTTACTATAAAGTTGTCTACTTAAGGGATGAATATGTTGTAGCAAAACAACTTTCTGTTTACAACTTACACTTCAAATCTACAGGTAATAATTTTATTATTTCAATTGACATCTTATAAATGGCCTTCCATTTACAAAAGCTTAACGAAAAAGGTTTATTTATTTATTTTTTCTTGCAGGGCGTCATTATACATGGAAGAAAAGAATATCATTTGTTTGCGATGCAATTGAAGGACATTACTGTGTTCATAATATTCAAAATATTGATATTGTTAATAATGATATAAATCATGTTTGTCATGTTTTGCTCACCCCATATGAAAACTGGTTAGAAAAACAAGAAACGGTATTCAATTTATATATGTACATTATTTTCATGCTAAACTTTTATTTAATCCAAATTTTCTTTTAGGTTAAAGGGGCAGTGGTGGATGACGAAAATACGGTTAGGTGGGTTTTTGACGGTTTATGGAATATGAAAATAGAAATGGCACAAGTCAAAATCCAGCCAGGTTGCTCATTTGATGTTATCCTGTCACGACCGCTACTATACCAAGGACCCCGGAAAGTCATCTGGCAGTTAAATCTTTTACCGTACGTTTCAAAAGTGGTTATTTACTTTATAATTTTTTTTCTTTAGCGTATTTTGTTGAAGAACGTTTTGTGGGGGGGGGAGCACTGGCTGAGTGGTTAGGGCATCTGATTTGTATAGCCATGCTAGTGGTTCTGGGTTTGAATCCCGGCAGAGCCCATGGTTTTTTAATGGATTATAGTGGGGGAAAATGTATTGTAAAGAGGTTTGACCCTTTGTCTGTGACGCCAACACAATAGTTGCATGTTGCAAGTCTTCCTGTATGACAGAGATTATTTTACATTCATTTTTTTAACTTTAAATTAACCTATTTAACCTTAAATTCACCTTTTTAACTTTGAATTAAATTTTTGAAACTACAAATTACCCTTTATTTGTTTTGACTGAGCTCCTTTTTTATTTCAAATTAACCCTTGTGTTTACTTCAAATTATCTTTTTCCCCTCAAATTATCCTTTTTTTTAAACTCAAAATTATCTCTTTCAATTTTCTTTTTTTCAATTTCAAATGATCCTTTCTTTCAATTTCAAATTATCCTTTTTTTTCAATTTCAAATTTTTCTTTTTTCAATTTCAAATTACGCTTTTTAATTTCAAATGATCCTTGTCCTTTTCAAATGATACTTCTTTTTTTAAAGTAAAATTAACCCTTTCTTTAAAGCACTAAACGAACTTAGGAGATGGTATGAAATATAAGCATGTAAAGCAAAAAAAAGAGTTAATTGAAAGTAAAAACAAGGATTAATTTTTACTTCAAATTGACTGTTTTAGTTCAACTTGTCCTTTTTTTACTTCAAATTTTTCCTTTTTTAACTGCAAGTTATCTTTTTTTAACTACAAATTATCCTCCTTTTCACTTCAAATTGCCCTCTTTTTTAACTTCAATTATATTTTTTTCCAATTTCANAGTAATATTTTAGTGCATTATAAATATAATAATATAATAAACTAAAAATTAAATATAAAAATAAATGATTCTTCTAATAATTTGATGGATTTTTAAAAACAATTTTGATCTATAAAATGATCAAATAAAATTGTTATATTAAAAAAAATTGAATCAATAGAACAATTGATTGTATGTTTAATTTTTAACTTTCAGTTTTAATTGTTGTTGCATAATTGTTAATTAATTAGCATATAGTTTTCTAAGAGGCTAATACAATTTTTTATAGTTTTATGTGTTTGTGTGTTATTGGTGTCTAATCATAAATTAGATTTACAGGTCATTAAATTTCAAGTTCCTTCAGGGGAATAAGGAGTTGTTTATTTTATTTTATTATTTTTTTTTTTTAATTCAGTGAAAATAATTGATGAAACTAATAATATTTTATAGGCCAGAATGTGAAAATTTCTACAACTTCAGTTACTTTGCTTGTAATCTAAATGAATTTGATGCTACAGTACCTCCGACAGATTCAAGAAGGAGATCAGACATAAGAACATTCGAAGATGGCAATTGGTCCTTATGTGAAAAATTAACGAAACATGTTCGACAAACTGACCCTTGTAGATGTGTCGACAGACGACCCGTCAAGGAGTTGCTGTTTGAAAAAACATTATGTAAGATAAATGCCTATAAAAAACTAATAAATTAAAACCAAAAAACATAGTATGACACACAGTTTACAGTTTTAGATCATGACCGTTTCCAGGAAGACTATCAACACTCTATTTGGTTTACGAAAACCATGGTGCCAGTAGAAAATACGTATGAAGTTGATGATTGTAGTGAAGTGGATGATTACGTATCACCTAAATGGCATAAAAGAAAGTATATTAAAAGAAAAAAAGAAGACATGAAATGTACTTATACTGGCAATTATTATTACCTAAAGTGGTTGCAAGAATGGGAATATTCTCCAATATTTTAAGCTCACCTTTTGATTTCAAAATAAATTGATTGAAGTAAAACAGGAAACACACTTTCATATTATTAATAATTAAAAAATTTAGAATTATTCTTATTAAAGGAAAAATATTAAATCATTTAAGAGTCAAGAGTTGAGGTTAAGGTTGAAAGTCAGCTCCATTATGACCTTGCACACCATTACTAACATGTGCAATCGCTATTAAAATTATTTAATTAGTGATCTGCTTATTATTAATTATTATTTCCAATTTTTATGCAAAGACAGTTCAGGAGAAAAATTGGAAATCTGTTATTTTATAAAGATCTTCATTAAGCTTAAGGCTTTTTATCAAATCCCAAAGCTTTGTTAAGGATCCTTCAGACCTTGGCTTTTTTTCTCCCAGGAGAATCTCAGCCTTCACGCCAACAGAGGACTGCTGTTATCGTAAGGAAAAGAATCATATTTAACAATACTAAACTAGTAGCGGAATTTCCAATGATATAAAAATTTTCTGCCTCATGATCTTTTAGCCAATCTTTTATTGGTTAAAATCATTCTCTTTAATCGAATGCCACCAGTTAAATTGTTTGTTCTATCACCTAGCCTTCTTGTTATACACGAAGTGCCACATGGTTATATTTTAAGCCCTATTCTCTTTCTATGCTAGATAACTAAACCGCCATCTCATCTATCTTCTGCCTTTACATACCTTTTGGTTGATTTTGTTTTTGTTCTGTGGATTCTAATGACTTATTAAAGAAAATTAAACATGGATATAGTCATCGATCTAGATTTAGTAGTTCTACCATTAGTTTCTGGGATTTTCTTCCAAGGACTTATTCTCAACTCATTGTATCATGGATCTAACGTTTTTAGCAATTTGGTATGTCACAAAATGGTTCAGGGCAGACCGATTGAATTTGCCTTGGCCAATTCATTGGTCTTCTCATTGCCCACGTACAAAAAACATCAACACCCTGAGGTTGTTGCAACCTCTACTATTGTGAACACCTATTAAATGAATAATTTAAAGCAGGGATAACTTTTGTTGAGGAAGAGTTTTTAGGTATAGAATTGTTCCTCTCCAAATCAAAAGGATTATAAAAGGGAATTAACTATGAACAAGTAATACACTAAGTTTTACATAAGTTTTGTTAATCAGAAACTAACTACATCCATTTTTCTTTTATATTTATCTTCATTTTGAAGTCTTCAGTTCTTATAAGAGTGTTTTTCCAGAATGCTTATTTTTTCAGCAACTGCAATGAAAGAAATATAATTATAATTTATGATATTAGTCAAGCATATTTATGTTTTTAAGGTGAAAATGACATTACCTCGGTTGCGTATTTCACAAATATAAGTTTTCTTATTTGTCTCAGCATTTGGACGTTTGTCATCATTAGATTTGGAATCTGAAACATAAAGAAAGAATATTACAAGTGAGCGTTATATAATAATAATATAATTAGGTTGTTCAAGAAGCTCTTGTTCACCAAAGCATGATCGAAACTGCAGAAGAAAGATCATCCTAACCCGACCGAAAATCGGCCCACAGCACAGGCACTTTTGAGTTAAAGCCAAAGTGTCCAGGATGCAGAGAAAGGTTGCATGATATGACTCACTAAATTGAAGGGTGTCATTCCAAGTATGTGTTAACTGTGTCATGAGAATGTATTTATAACCATGAATGCGTGTATAGTACATGAGCACCAATGGTGGAATATCAAGTACCCCTTTCTACTATTAGTGAAGTTGTTTATATGTCTAAGGGATGATGGTGTCACAAGCATTTGAGAAAGCACCTAATTACGGGTATATTCAATGATGACCATGTAGGTTATGCAATGAGGAGGAAGCAACCCTCGGTCTTTCTAGGTGAAATGCAATGCTATCATTCGTTACACCTTAGAAAATCTTAAAAGGGGCACTGACAAAAAAATTCTCAGCCTATCAGACCTCCAACTACATAAAAAAAGTAATGTTCAAAATAGTAGGTGAACACATCCAACATATCCAAAACCTGTGAAAAACATAGCAATCTGACAAGATTGCACAAAATAGTTCTGGGTAATGAACAAACAGGCAAACTGGCTAGAGGAGGATCAGCAAGGCAGTATAGAGTCAGAAACCTACAAGCTACATAAAAATATCTAACATTCCTCCATCTCCGAATGGGTCCACAAAAACAAAAGAAGTGGACAAACTCCAGATGTACCAGACACAATAAACCAGCAAACACTATAGTAAGATAGGGTGAAACTTAGGTACAGTGCTTACTGCCATCTGAGACTGTTAAAGGCATAATTAAAGGGGAAAATAATAAGGTTGATAAGACTGTTTTCAAGCGAAAGGGAGAAACGGTGATGACCGCTAGAAGATCTTTAGGACAGTGAGTAAAAGGCGTGCTTCAAATAAAGACAAAGAAATACACAAGTATAGTTGATTTAATAATATCCAATAACCCATACCATTTATCAGAGACAACACAACATGGTTACTTTCAATTATGACCCAAAGATATGTACCAGTCACTGGCATCAAGAATAAGACTCCCAAACAACTAGTGTGTAAAAAATGTAGTAATGACAGTCAATGACCTACGACTTCTTAAAAAAAGATCGATATACTGTGCTAAGGAACTTCGTGCTTGCAAACCAAGAAAACCCGGGAAAGGTATTGCTGTAATGAGAGCTAGTGACCTTCTACTTCTTGAAAGAGGTTGATTGACCTGAATTAAGGAACTATGTGCTTGCAAGGCAATAAAACCCGGGAAAAGTATTGCTGTAATGAGAGCTAGTGACCTCCTACTTCTTGAAAGAAGGTCGATTGACCTGAATTAAGGAACTATGTGCTTGCCCACCAAGAAAACCCGGGAAAAGTATTGCTGTAATGAGAGCCAATGACCTTCTACTTCTTGAAAGAAGGTCGATTAAACTGAACTAAGGAATTTCGTGTTTGCAAGGCAAGAAAACCCGGGAAAAGTATTGCTGTAATGAGAGTCAATAACTTACTACTTCTTGAAAGGTCGATTGAACTGAACTAAGGAACTTCAACAAAGGCATTAAGTATTCCTTTATTATTACCATCAAGGATTGATCAAGCATATAAACATTTCCCTTAAATTGAAGACTACATTTGATTAAACTATAAACTTTTCTAAAAACTTGTTCCTTCTGCAAGCACTAGAGTTTGTGACCCGCCATTGAAATGTTTTAACTTTAAATGAATCATTCCGGCAAATTTATTGTTTTATATCATTAATTAAAAATATGCTTCCAAAAAAATGACAAAACATTGCTTTATAAGAGGCACGTCGATATCTTTATTTGCATTAGGGAGATAAGGCGATGTCTTATCTGCTTTTCACCGGGAGGTGCAAAGCATTTTCAATTTTTATTAGTCATATGGGTGTCTTCCTAAAATTCACATCAGCCGATTTTTAAGGGAAACGCAAAAGGTGTAATAAGTGGATGAATTAAAGACACTCTCTCTTAAAATATGTTCACAGGTCCAGTGTTTGAAAGTGAATGAAAAAATAAAAATGCTTAGTTTTGTCATAATCTTAGTTTCCCTCGGTGAATTTGCCTTGGGTCAGAGCAGGGACGAATTGTGCACAAAATGTTCCTGCGACGGTGGCACGCTCAATTGTTCGTCGCGGGGGTTGAACAACCATTTTGCCGAAGAGAATTGGAAAGGGGCGAATTTCACAGTGGCAAATTTTGACAGGAATTCCATTTTACATTTGACGAGATTTCCGCCGGCGAGGATCGTCAAGCTCGTCTTGAGCCACAATGGAATGACCATCATCGACGACGCCGCTTTTCGTTTCCTCAAAGATTTAGAAGAACTCGATTTGAGTCACAACCACTTGACGACGGAAGTGTTGAAACCGAACGTATTCCAGGTAATTGTCCATGATTTTTACCATTTCTCATGCAAGAAGGACGTTCCTCTGCTAAACTTAAAATGCACGCAATAGGACAAAAAATTAAAATCTTCAAAATCTCTTCAGCTATTTTCAAAGAGATTCCATTACACTTTTTTAATTTTGTTTTTGATACCAACTTTTTTTTTCACTCGCTCTTTGATGACTTTGCTTGAGTTTATCAGACTGGGTAAATAATGCAGTACAATAATAAAAGAAGAGGCCAATCTTGTTGGTTTATTTTGGTTTCTTTTGTGTTGGCTCGTTTATAACGCATTTCAATTAAATCAACTCAAATTGTAAAATTGTTGAGGTAGCTAAAGACCCTGCTCAGGTAGTACTAGTGTGCCTTCACTAACGGATTACAGCGCACTATCTAGCATCAGGCTTTTTTTTTTTTTTTTAGTCGTTTCCAATCATTTTGGTCTGTCCATCTAGGATAAATTCATTATCCAGTAGACTCAGTGTAGAACCTCACAATTAAGGCTTTTTATCTATCTGCCCATCTAAAGGATAAATTTTGTGGCATACCAAACTGCCAAAAACGTAGATCCATGAGGCAATACATTAAGAATAAATCATAGGTTCAATGGTATTGTATTCAAGGACAGCTCACAAAGAAGGCATGTAGAAAGTTTATCAAGGAGCATCGCAGAAACTACAAGATTACATTGTATAGAAGACGGTCTCTGTACGACCTGTGCACTGCGAGCAGTATTATTCTATTGTGCATCTCCATTTTTTAAATCTAGAGCTCCTCATTAAGCTTGAGGCTTTTTAGCACACCCCAAATCTTTTTCAATGGCTTTTCCTCCCCCAGGATTAGGAATCTCAGCCTACTTAGGCCTTTGTACCAACAGAGGACATGTTCTGCATTTCTTCGTCTTCTTGGCAATATTTATACAGGCTTGTTGCTGCCAACCCAAGTCTATACATATGCCTTCCATAGTCTGCAGTGTCCAGGTAGCAGTCCAACTATTATTCTAGTCCTAGCACGTCCTAGATTTAGTAGTTATGCTGTTAGTTAGTGATTTTGTTATTTTCCCCAATGTCTGACAGGGTTCTAATGCAGTCCCAAATGACTCTGGACTTTACCGATGTGGAAATTACCTTCAGCGCAGAACTTCTAAATCTAGGATGTTTTAGGACTAAAAAAATAGTTGGACTCCTAACCAGATACTACATAGAGACTCTAGACTCTAGACTCTAGAGGCATATAGACTAAGAGTGCGGATATTGCCAGGAAGAAGAAATAGTAAAGTATGTCCTCTGTTGGTATGAAGTTTATGTAGGCTGAGATTCCACATAGATCCCATGTAAAACCTGACAATTCAGGTCTGTCCATTTAAGAGTTCAGGATCTTTACCAGCAGACCCCATGTAGAATATCACAGTTCGAGCTTTTTAGTACTCGTTTTTTTGTTATTTATTTGCTTGTTGTAGTTTTGTTGGACTGCCCATCTAAGAGGATAAGTTCATCACCACGCACCCTCACAATTGAGGCTTTTTTCTGTCCATCTTAGAGTTATGATCATGTCCTCAGATGCTAAAATGCAATTTAAAAAATGATTAAAAGGAAATGACAGTGTCAGCGAATTGGATCAGTATAATAAGCTCACAAGTGTCACAATCAGTTGGTAACCCTAGGAGAATCTGAATTGAAGAAGAGAAATCGTACGCACTTGACTAAGAATAGGCCATGGTTGGCACAAAGACACTTATTTTTGATCAAATGCCAGATGTGTACCATTTCTTGGCAGGACACAGCAAGTCTTTGGATCCTCTGTTCTGATTATGGCACATAGTATTTTGTGTTAACTTTTGTGTGTATTGAGAGTGAATGTATTTATTAAAGTGAATTTCTAGTGTGAGAGGGAAAATGGCAAAATATTGAATACCCCATTGACCCACAATTAGTTTAATTATAATTAAAATGTGATGGAGGAATATCACTCCCAGGCATGTAAATAGAATGTGCTTAGGATTAAAAACTGCATGGGTTGAAGGCTGAAATGACTGGTGACTGCCCCTGGATACTAACTTCAGACGGATAAGAGCAAGGTCTAACCTCAAACTGCCAACAACACCAGTATAGACGAGTGTTATGAAAAGTCAAATTCTAACAATCATACAATTTTATGCTGCATATTTAAACATAATTCCATCCTTTTTGCTATGCTAAAATAACATTTTAGGGGGTGTATTCAACTGAAGCATACGAGCCACTAATGAAATTGAGGAAGCTGTTGCTGAATGAAAATGCTCTTCATAGTTTGCATAGAGATTTTTTTGAGCATCTGCCTGCAATCGAAGAGCTCAACCTTTCAGGCAATCCCTTTATGGTCATCGATAATCCAACAATAACTGCCATTTCATCAATTTCTTATTTAAAAGTGAGTAAATCCTATGATACAATGAAATATGACAGATACTTGTGAAGAAATTTTTTTATACTCATCAAAATCTTAAATTTAGTTGCTTAACTTACTAAAAATTATAAATAGTACAATTACTAGTAGGTACTTTTAGTACTAAAAGTACTAAAATTATAAGTTATGTAAGTATCATAATGGTGCCAATTTTTCTAGACAATTATGTTTAATTTTTGTTGTTCAGTATTTAGACATGTCAAGTACGATGCTGAGTGATATTCCTGCAACGATGATGCATACACCTAAATATCTGCAGACACTGAACATTTCGTATAACAATTTTTTTCACGTTCCAACAGCCCTCGGAGAAGCTCATGTTTTGTCAACCCTTATAATGGATGTCAACCCGATAAAAGAGATAAAGTGAGTAGAGCAGTATCAAGAAATAAATAATCAACATGTTCATAAATTAATCGCTTTGTGGTTAAATTTCAGCAAAGTCCCCTTTATACCTTCTCTGAAAGTGTTGCACATCAACTACATGCCTCTTCTGACAAGAATTGATAAAGGCGGATTAAGCAATTTCACCCATTTGGAGGAGCTTTCTTGCAGTTTCAACAAACATTTGAAATTTATTGATGAAAATGCTTTCACCGTTTCTACTGGAGCGACAAAAATATGGCCACCAATGCGAAAGGTGCGATACAGTGATCATTAAAACTGGTTAGGTATATTGACTCCTCCCTAAGGGGAAGGAATGCAACTTGGGTGCTTTCCTAGACAAGAGGTTAGTTTACAAGTGTGGTACTCAGGCTTACTCTGGAAACACAATGGCATCTTTACAGTAATAATTATTACTTTCTTATTACCTCACCCTAAAATCATATCAAGCACAAATCTGAATATCTTTGTCACCCATCTAGTAAGCCAAAGCGGGTTTCAAGGCAGAATACTAGATTTCATTCAATATTCAGTATACACTCCAGACACTCCTATCAATCCCGATGCAGTACTCCTCACATATGCAGATAATACTCATCTTTTGAGCAAGCCCAGACCCAGTCATCAGAAACTTCCAGGACATCTCTCCAGTTTGGAAGAATGCTGCAAAAAAAGGATCAGACTCAACAAACCCAATTCCAGCAAATAACCATCTCTCTTATGACATCTCATATTCTCTCCCAGCAACCAATGTCTCCACTATTTAGACTACAACAAAAGTTTTATTTGGAACACCCACACAAAAGAATACAACTGAACATATAATATAAACTATTCAAAAGACTACTTGACAACAGATCAAAACTCTCACCACAAAACTTATCTGCACTTCAATGCAATCCGTATGGAATTCTGACAGACCCTTTAATCCCATTTGTTTCAAAACCACAAGAAATGAAAACAGATCCTTCTGTAAAACCCTGGACCCTCCATTCCAATACCTTTCATCTCCGTCCCTACCTGACAATCAAAAAGTAGTCTAACTTAAAAAAATATAAAAAACTTGTACAGTTTGAATTAATGTATTTTTCTCTTTGCAGATTTATTTAAATAATAACAATCTTCAATATTTAGAACAGTACTTGATTTTACACACCGAGAAGATAAAAAGTTGGAGTCTACATACAAATCCTTGGGTATGCGACTGTCAAAACCAATGGATGGTAAATTCACTTCTGCCACAGATCAACAAGACTAACCCAAATGAAGCAACAAGATTATTGTATGTATTTTACACCTTTTACAGATAATTTAAGTTCAATACCAAAATTGTTTATTCGCCCTATTAAATTACATGGACACTGCTCCAGAGTGCTCGATATTCTTCAGGGAGATTGGGGAGCAAGTCAGTTACCATAATAAATTTCATGCACACACCAGACTTCATTCACACTTCCCCAGAATATTCGATATTCTTCAGGGTGTTTGGTGAAGAAATCATTCACATTAATAAATTACTTTTCAATTAATTAATCTTTAAGTAAGGTATTGGTTGAGATAAAAATGGAAAACCTAATGGATTTAATAAATTACATTCACACACCAGATTTCATTCACACTGCCCCAGAATATTCGATATTCCTCAGGGTGTTTGGCGAAGAAATCATTCACACTAATAAATACATTCACATTACTCCAGAGTACTATTTTTCATCTTTTACAGATAATTTAGGTTCGATATCAAAATTGTTCATTGCCAAATATTTAACTAATTGACTCTAAAAATAAAATATACAGGATTAATTATTGGAAAATTAGGCAACATGCTTAATTACTGATGGCTGACCTATTAATTATTTATGCCTTCAGGATGAGATTCAAATGAATTATTGACAACAGACTTGATTAGCATCCGACTTAGTTCTGATCTAGCTCTTCAACATAGATTTTTTTGAGGAGGGAAAATTTTTTTTTACAAAAAATTGACCCTTGGCCAAATTTATGTGAAGATGTTAAAAATACTTAAACAGTGCTCGATTTAAAAAAACAGGAGGTGATTGGGAAGAAATCATTCACACTAACAAATAACATTCACATACCAAACTTCATTCACACTGCTCCAGTGTACTCAATATTATTTGGGGCGTTTGGAGAAGTCATTCACTCTAACAAATTATATTCATACCGCTACAGTGTTTGATATTCTCAGGGCGATTAGGGAGGATGTCATTTACACTAATAAAGTCTTTCACACACCAAATTTCATTCACACTGCCCCATAGTACTCAATATGCTTCAGGGTGTTTGGGGAATGTTTAGGTACTTTTTCTGCACACTCAGTTCTCTAAGATTCATCACTATGTGGCCTAAAATGACAATTTCACTATAGGAGGTTGCCATGTATGATCGTGATGTGACCTATGCGCAACCTAGCAAGTATGACCTTTTCCTTTTCTAGACCCAGCCTCTGCTGCAAGGGACCGATGTCTTTTTTGTAATTTTCAATCATTTTTATTCTTTATTTTCACCCTGGGGATTCTCCATTCATTTTTTATCACATCGGCTTTATTATTCTATAATTTCTGTACTTTCTCTAAGTAATGATAATAGATTTTTCTTTAAATTTACAATTAAAATTTTCTTTTTATTTGTTTTTATTTTAATAAATCTAAAAATCACTTTTCATTGTTTAGTTGCAGTAGTCCAAGTGAAATGGTAGGAATGAGATTTTTGGATTTGCACAGCAGCAAGACGAATATGCGTTGCCTCGACGCTTACGGAAATCATCCCGAAAAAGATTCACTTGTACTCGTCGTAATAATTTTAATGGTTATGATAAGCATTCCACTTATGGTATTTTCTATCACTTCGTATCTTCAAAAAACCAGGAGAAACATACAATTCTCAAGGTTCCTCTACCGACGAACTGAATCACTGGAAAGTTTACCTTAAAATTCAAATGATAATGATATCCAAGATGTAGAAGTAATGTTATTATTAATAAAGTAATATATAGTAAGAAAAGTATTATTTCTGAAAAGCTTAGCTTAACTTTACAAATGTAGTTGAAATGCATCAATTATACCAGTCTGAGCATTATTTTTGTTTATTTTGTACTATATGTTTATTTTTAAAGTATGTAGTTTGCAAGAGTCCAAATGGTCAGACTATTAAATAGTTAACTAGTTTGTTATTTTTTAATAAACTGTTTGCATTTATTTTCTTAATTTATAAACTTTTCTTTGTATCGTTGTATTGTTTGTTATACATTATTTAGTAATAAATTGGAAGTTACCAGAAAAAGTTGAGTATAAAATTTGTACATATGTACCCAATACCGATGGATAGGAATTTGAATTATAGATTTGAGTCCTGGATGTTACTGAAGGCCACTGTCTGGGCTTGGCCACAAAGGATGGCAGTATTATTTGTATATTTGCGTACTGTATTGGTATTGATAGTTAAATGTGCAGTATAGTGAATAGAGGATGGGACCAAGTATGCTTCCTTGTAGGACTCCACTTCAGCATAGTGCATGAGATGGAAGAATGTTCCCATTCGTACTTGAAAGACGATGTAGGTGGATGGCCTGGAGTTTTTGGGTAAGCATCTTGTTTACGAGCTGTATTCCTTCCACTTAAGGGAATATTCAATATTCTAATAAGTTTTATCTTTTAAGAAGTCTGAAACAGCTGATTTTCTTGTCTTGAGGTAAATACTATTACAGTAGATGGGAGCAGTGGTTGCTCTTAAAAAAGGTGAAAGTGACATGAACACATTTTTGTTTGTCATTTTCCGTGGATTGAACCACAGCTATCAAAGGTTTTTCAGTTTTTTAGATGAGATAAGGGTATAGTGGTTTCAGCAAAGGTTGGAATGTCTGCAGCGTATTTGGAGGATGGGTCCTAAGATACGTCCTTGGATGTTACATCCTCCCTTCTATCTACACGAGGGTCATCAGGAACCACTCATGACTGGTATCAGTCAGTTAGATAGGATTTTATAGGATTAAATCAGGTTATACGTAAAAGGTCTCTCTTTGCATCCGTGGAATACCTGGCTGATAGAGAGGCGTTACTGATGTCTTGTATTGGTTGGCTAAGTAGGATTTTTGGAGCAAATCGTAAGTAAAAGGTCTAAGAGGATGGGACCTAAGATACATCCTACGAGTACTGTATCCATGTGTTATCTGTGGGATCAGGAGGCCCTGATAACTTGTACCTGTAGATAGATTAAGCAGTGTATAGGTAAAAGGTAGGCCTTTCTTAAGCTTCCAGAACATAGGTTTCGTGAAGAGGATAGAACCTAAGGATACTTCCTAGTTCCTTGGGGTACCCCTGCATCCGTGGGATAGCCAGCTGATACAGAGGAGCCTGATTTGTATGATTTGTATCTATCGGTTAAATATGATTTTAGGACAAAGTGTATGTAAAATGGTTGTCTCTATTAAGCTTCCAGAGTAGCCCCAGATGCTCTACTACTTGTTCGAAGGCTTGCTTCTCACCTCGGTTAAGGTGGGAACAGCACTCCTTTCGTTCAAGATCATTACTGATGGTCTACAACGAATGTGGAACGAGAGCGTCCGACCCACAGTCAGGAATAAATTGTGGGAACGAAGAATGGGGAAAATGTGCTTAATATTTTTTGTAGGTTTTTGTCCATTATAGCCAATTGAATTGGATAGTAGGATTATGTTAGGCTATGACGTTTTTTAGGGTTTGGAATTCTAATTTTTGCCGATATATTGACTAAGATATTCGAGAGAATACAAAAACTGTGGGTTGCAAGAGAAATAAATCAATTAAAATCACACAAAGTATTTTTATTTCAAAAAAATATAATATCAAATTGAATACATTCCAATTTTTATATCTTTTTTTATATCACATTGCACACTAATATTTTATACTCGAAGGTTTGTTAATAAATTTTATTATAAAAATATAAATTGTTCCAGTTTATAAATTGACTCACATTATTAGTTAAAAATACTTCAAAAACTTTTACAAGTCTTTCAAATAGGCACATTATTTCTTGAGGGTGTTTAATACAAAATCATACTCAAAAACAAAAAACTAATAAAAGCCAAGATAAACTATAATTATTTTAAAAAACTCAAGTAATAAAATTATAAGCTAAAAAAAGCATATACGTATATTTTTGTTTGGCAATAAAAAAGAAACACAAAAAAAACACACAGACACACACACTGCTCAAGAACCAAGAGATTAGTCACAAAGATTAAAATTTAATTATATTTTTATAATATTGCTGGTTTTAAATAATTATTACAAAAATATTGCTTTCGGTTCGTGCTATACTGACTGTACACAAATCTTACGGATTAAGATTATTGAGCAGTGTTTAAGGAAGAGAAAAACTGCCTCTGACAATAATATGCTAGATGGCACAAAATATATATAAATAAATTCTACTGTTGGAGAACTATAAGAAGATAAAAAGCGAAGTCTCATCTAAACAAAAATTAGTATTATAAAACTAAATGTCCAACAATTAATTTTAACCTAAACATAAATTCTTTCTAAATCATTAGAAGCACAGAATATAAGAAGTATGATTGTTATGAAATAGTTCTCCAGCAATATTACAATTTAAATAAGGGGCGATAAAACAATAAATATCATTTATATTATACCCTATACATGCATAGCGGTACACTTAGAATACTTTTATAGAAAATCTTTTCTCTTACATTTACTCAAATTTCATTTTGTGGACAATTCCAACAAATAGATAACACAAAAATGGAATGTTCGTTTATTTATGATTTACATGAATCATGAACTCAATCGTTACATTTCGTGGTAACTTTTCAAGCTTTAACATTCGGTTCATAATCATATTTTATTTTATAATTTAACATTTTATGTAATAAGACCAAAATATTTCATTACTTTACTGCCTATAAATTGACTTTGTAAACCTACGTAAAGCAGGTATGTATTAAAAAAAATTGACATTATTATTAAGTTACTTTGGATTTTGGCACAATGTTTAATATAAAATAAAATAAAAAAACAGTGATTTTAAACCAATTTCTGTTTTGGCTTTATAGATTATTACAAAAATAAATTGAATGTACAAGACTTTTATACAAGAGTTCTTAATGTTTCATTCTTGAATTGTATTTACAATTGCATTTTTTATGTATAACAATTAATATATTAAATCCCATTAGCTGGTCATTGCATTTTTTTAATACTATTAGACTAGAAATATGTGATCAACCAAATTATTCAGTCAACACTAAGAATTTTAAGTAGTAATACCTTAAAAATAAATATTTAGATCAAAGTTAAAACATTCACAAACTGTATTTGGCGATTGATTTTACAGCCGTCGGGGCACACACTTTTTTAAAAAAATATTTGCGAATAGTAATTTAAAACGGTGAAATTGGGTCGTTAACGATTATTTTGGTCTGGCTGTGTTGGTCTAGAAATACAGTGGCTTACAGTGAAAACGATGCAGCACGATTTTCACATGAAATGGATAAAAATTGATTCCAATCGATTTTTTTTTTCCAGTTGACTTACATATTTCCACCTCATGTTGAAAATGATACGTTCAATGGTTCACTTTAATCATCTTTTTATCTTCCAGTTGAAATTAGATTTAGATATTGCAAGTCATTTCCTGCATTCAATACATAGTCAGTGATTTTTAAGTGATCTTGTGCGTATAAAAATGGTCGAGGGAGTTCATAAATTATCATAGAAAAAAAAGGTAAATTCATTTGGTAATTAGATGAAATCATTCATAGGGCCGATTTCAACTGTATGACATATTTTGGAAGTATTTAATAATGAAAATAGTATTGCTAGAAAATGGAGAAGTGAAAACAAATATTTTCACAGGCTGATGAAGATGGAGTTTAAGGATTGCAGCAGGGATATGGGAAAAGTTGCAAACAATTTTTAATGCTGATTGTGGGACTGAAAAAAATACTATAACGAAAGGAAAGCTAGACAAAAACTATTAGGTTAAAAAAAATTAAAGATGGCCCTTCCAAATGAGAACTTAAAAAAAGCCTAAAATTGCTGCAGAGGTAGAGAAAACATGCAATCATTGCTGATTGTGAGACTGAAAAAATTACTTAATGGAAGGGTTGATAAAAAAAAAAAAACCTTTCATAAGTTTGCAAAAAGATTAAAAACTAAAGATGGCTTTTCCAAATAAGAACTTAAAAAAATCCTAAAATTGCTGCAGAGGTGAGAAAAACTTGCAAAAAAAAGTGTTAATGCTGAGACTGAAAAAATTACTCTAATGGATGGGTTGCTAAAAAAAAACCTTAAGTTAAAGATGTCCTTTCCAATGAGAATTTAAAAAAAGCCTAAAAATGCTGCAGAGGTAGAGAAAACATGAAAAAAAATGTATGACTGAAACTAAAAAATTACTATAATATATAGATTGCTAAAAAATCCTTAAGTTAAAATAAAATTAAAGATGGCCTTTGCAAATAAGAACTTAAAAAATCCTAAAATTGCTGAAGAGGTGAGAAAAATATGCAAAAAAGCATTTAGTGCAGAGACTGAAAAAAATTACTCTAATGAATGGGTTGCTAAATAAATTCCTTAAATTAAACTAAAATTAAAAATGGCCTTTCCAAATGAGAATTTTAAAAACGCCTAAAATTGCTGCAGAGATGAGAAAACTTGCAAAAAAGTTTTAGTGCTGACACTGAAAAATTGCTATAACAGAAGGGTTGCTAGAAAAAAGCAATTCTGGGCTTTTAAAAATTCAACATCTGTTATAGAAAAAACAAAAAGGATACTTTGTTTTAAAAATCAGTTTTATTTACTGATGACAATTCCAAATCTTTGGTTCTGATGGTCGAAATTATGTCTGAAAAAACCTGGAGAGGAGTATGGGAACATTTCCAATCAGCAGGATCTAAAACAAACCTTCTTGAGTGGGAAAAAATTAGCCCTGAATTCTGTAAAAATATTAGTCAATGCGTAATCAGATTTAAATAGTTCTGGAAAAAAGCTTTGCCAACCAGATATGATTTTTTTGACCCAAATCAGTTATTTCAACATTAAAGGGACATTATGGTGTATCATTTTCATTCAGAGGTTAAATACTCAAGTTTTATTTCTTTACAATTTTTAATCAATCCAAGTGGATCATAGTGACTTAGTTTATATTTTATTTTAGCGAATTTTGTAAAATATGCATATAAGTTAATCGTGCAAACAAAGTGCTGTACGAGTAGTAGAGAATGCAATAAAAGAACGTTGGCATTGTCAGTGAGTCAGTCAAAGAACTTGACATGCAAGACGACTGAACGATGTCCCCCTCCCAAGGAATTGTGGCTAACAATTTATTTAGGCCATTCCTGATTAACACAGGGGCTCCTGTCTGTCGAGGAGTTGTAAGACCTTGGCCCTTTATAGGGAGCAAGTAGGCATGGTAGCCGATGTAAAAATAAAAAAAATAAAATAAAAAAATAAATAAAAAAACAGTCCTCAGGCTTGAGAGTTGTTACGTCCTCTGTTATGATTTGTAAAGGAAACAGGTGTGTTTCCCCATATTTAATAATATTGTAAGTAATAATTTATTGTGTGTATTTTTCAAGTAGTTGTGTGAATAAATTCGAGGACTGATGGTGGAATACCGAGTACACCATCAGCCCTGTGCTTTGGAATGAATGAAATAATTTAACATGTATATCATTTTCACTGTGAACCAATGACAGACCGATCGGTAACAACCGAATTTCAGTTCATCTATGCCGCAAAGCAAAGACATCTCACAACTAATTCAGAGCTCAACAATTTTAACTTATATTTTTAATTAATACTTCATAAAAGAATTAAATAGTAATGAAAAATTTACATTTATGCAAAGGTTTTTGGATTTGTTTTTAATTTATAATTAACTATTTATTAAATTAGCTTGCTTGGAATCCTCCCTTGAAAGAAAATTTGCAAATGAACAGTTTAAAAAATATAATCTAGAAAATTTCAACCTGATAGTCCTTTACGTTTATGTATTATTAAATAAAAAATATAAGGGTATTTATTTTCAAAGCACTTGGGACATCGGAAAAATTGACACACCAACCTCGGCTGTTTCATAGATATTTGATTCTCCCACCGGCTGATAAACAAGATTCACAATTTTTAACAAATATCGACTGAAATCCCTTGATGACTCATAAGAGAATTTCAATCGATAAAGACATCAAAAGATAAAAATCTGTCCATCAGTCAAGGTTTTAAAACATCCCGCTTGCTACTTATTATTGTTTAATATAACAAACTCTTTTATTTTTATTTATTTTTTTTTTATTACAAAGGGCCAGGTATTTTGTTAATACAATTAATCTGGGTGAAGTAGAAAAATATGAAAATTACACTTTATGACTTATTATCGTGCAATTTTTTTTTTTTTTTTATCAGGTCAACTTATTAAAATAAATGTAATTTTAAATGTTTATTTGTAGAAAGTCTTGTGGTTGGCAAACATCACAAGTGTCAATATTATCACTTCACCATAGAAAATTTTACCAAGCACTGTTTTGTATCTGGCTTTACACCTTTCTGCACAACCTAGATGCTTGGAATTGGAAAAAATTTGAACACTATTCAATTTTCTTCGCGTAATTTAAATGGTATCGATAAAATATAAATTAATTCTAATAAAGTTGTACTTTTTAATGTAATATATCATTTGGTAACGAGTATAAAAAAAAGCTTCTCGGCGGTTGTTACATGGATAGATTCAAATTAGAAGTGAATGAAAATTTGAAACATCAAATAGCGCCAAATACAATAAATGTTATTATTATTACAATTATAAAATAAAGAGAAAAAAAAGAAAAAGAGAAATAATGAAGACACTTCTAGTTTTTTTTTTATATAGAATGATGAATTTTTTAGATTGAAAGACACAAGTTCACAATTTATGAACCAGAAAATCTTGATTTTTGATGTTGTTAATCACTAGAAATGGTAACCCATAACATAATCCGAATGTTTCGACCATTATAGAATTCAAAATCAATTCCTTTTACTTAAAAAAAAAAGTTTTTCACAAATTGCACCAGTTAAAAGACATTTACGGTTGAGTAATTTTCATTTTTCCTGTTCTCATTCCGTTATGATTTACTACAGGAAAAAATAAATTCTTACTCTTACATATCTGGAATGTGAAATTTTAACTAATCCAGAAAATTTGACATAAATTTTTATCTGGTGTTATTTTTTGACTTTAGAGGCCACCCAAAAAATAACACCAGATTGTACAAATAAGGCGAAAGAAATAAAACTCCATTTTTATCATATTGTTTGAAAGCGAGATAAACTTTTCATAAAAGTTTATTTACCGACATGAATATTTAAATGGTGCAAAATGGAGAGAGTAAAATACTTAGGCTTGTTGTTGGTGGTGAGGGGCGAAGACGACGTTGCAGCCGCATTGGACGTGCTGCATGAGCTCCTGTTTGAGACGATATACGCGTTCCCTCAACGAGCTGACCGACTGGGACAACTCTGCATTTTCACTTTTCAACATTTTGACTTTCCCTTCGAGAAGGGCAATTCTTTCCAATTTCCTCTTCCTGCATTTAGAAGCGGCGACTCTGTTCCTGTACCTTTTCCTTTCGAGTTTGATCTTCTCTTGGCATTCCATGTCCAACGGAGAGACAGGGGGAGAATCCGGTACTGTCTGCGGCTCTTCTTTGATCGAAGAGCCGGGAGGAGAGACGGCGAAGGCGTAGTTGGGCCTGTAGTGGGTTTCGAGCGGGTGGTACGCCATCACAGAGGAATCGCTGGAGGCCTCGGCGTGCTGCATCCCGCTCTGGGAAGAATCGCTGTGGTGCAGCTCGTTGAGCGCTTCGACGAAACCTCGCGCGTAGATCTCCTGCTCTTCGGTGACGTTCTTCGGAAAGAGTATCTGAGTCGGTAGGCCGCTGTTCCCCCCGATGCCGTTCTGTTGGTCGATGATGAGCCTCTCCAGCTCGGGAGAGCCCAGTTTGAGCATGTTTAAGTCCGGAGAAGACAGTACGGGAGCTCCGGTCACGGCCGGATTCAATTTAAACATTTTCCCGTTCCTACCGTTCAGATCTAACGTCATGTTCCTTTTCAACGCCTCTCTCGGGTTGTTGCCGTCGTAAGAGTGCTCTTCGTAAAAAGTCGGCTCCATTTTCGTATCTGTCGAATAGCGGACCATCAATGGGCGAATAAACGGCAAAGTGCAACGGTCGTCGACTGGAACGGAACTTAAAAAGGCTTACAAATCGCCGGGCCTAACGCCTTCCCTCGGGGCGTCGGGCTCCATACGGGCTGGGGATGAGTCAGAGGCCGGGCGGAACTCCTTCCAACGACGACAATCCAACGTCGAACCCTCGCCACCTCCGTCCGACGAAAACGGCTCGATCTCAATGGGAAACGAAACCCCGAAACGACGACGTCACTCGCGAGCCCTCCTTCTTCCCTTCGTCGTAAGCAGTGCGATGACTGATGACTCCTGAGTCGGAATCCACGCCAGGCCGCCTTATCAACGAGGACCCGCCGCCGACACCGCTCCTCGCGGCACCCACCGCCCACCGCGCCACCACCACCATTTCAAACTTGACTTGACAAAGGGAAATTCTACTCAATAAATGACGAAATATTTTTGGATCACGACAAAAAAAATTTCTATTCAAATAAATACTAAAAAAAAAAGATAATTCAATCTCTGCTCTTTTTGTAAAAGTTATATACACGATATTTTATTTATATCGTAGAGAACTAGATGATCTAAAACAATTTCTCCGACTAATTACCTCCTTAACACCCAAAAAATAAATTTCTCATTAAAAAAAATTAAAGAGGGTTCTTTAACTTTTTACACATAAAATTGAAGTAGACATAGAAAACCCAGAACTACCACAGATGACTCTTCACATTCATGGACCCATAAGGCTGCTGGATTTATTGCTTAACACTTTTTTGGTTTAAAATTAACCCTTTCTTTAAAGCATTAAAAAACTTAGATGGTATAAAATGTAAGCATGTTAAGTAAAATTCCTGTGCAAACATTCATTCCCGTCAAATTAACTGTTTAAGTAAAAAAAGGGTTAAGTATTTTTTTTGCTTCAAATTATTCTTCTTTAATTTCAAATTAATCTTTGTTCAATTTCAACTACCTCTTTTTATAAAGAATCAATTGTTTTTAACTTAAAATTAATCTTTTTTTTAACTTCAAATGAATCTGAAATTTCAAACAAACATTTTGTAACTTCAAATTAATCTCTTTTTAATTTCAAATTGACCTTTTTTAATTACAAATCAACCCTTTTTAACTTCAAATGAATCTCTCAAATTCCAAATTAACCTTTTTTAACTTCTAATTAATCTCTTTTTAATTTCAAATTAACCTTTTTTTTATTACAAATCAACCCTTTTTAACTTCAAATTATTCTCTGAAATTTCAAATTAACCTTTTTAATTACAAATCAACCCTTTTTAACTTCCTTTTTTAACTTCAAATTATTCTCTTTTTAATTTCAAATAAACATTTTTTAACTTAAAATTAACCATTTTGTCTTCACATTAACCATTTTAATCTCAAATTAACACTTTTTAACTTTTTTAAAATTACAAATTAACCCTTTTTAACAGCAAATCTTTGTGGATTTCAAGGAAATTTGAAGTTAAATGAATCTTTGAAATTACAAATTAACCTTTTTTAACTTCAAATTATTCTCTTTTTAATTTCAAATTAACCTTTTTTATTATAAATCAACCATTTTTAATTCAAATTATTCTCTGAAATTTCAAATTACCCTTTTTAATTACAAATCAACTATTTTTAACTTCAAATTATTTTCTGAATTTCAAATTAACCTTTTTAATTACAAATCAATCCTTCTTAACTTCAAATGAATCTCTGAAATTCCAAATTAACCTTTTTTAACTTCAAATTAATCTTTTTAATTTCAAATTAACCTTTTTTATTACAAATCAACCATTTTTCACTCCAAATTATTCTCTGAAATTTCAAATTAACCTTTTTAATTACAAATCAACCCTTTTTAACTTCCTTTTTTAACTTCAAATTATTCTCTTTTTAATTTCAAATAAACATTTTTTAACTTAAAATTAACCATTTTGTCTTCACATTAACCATTTTTAATTGCAAATTAACTGTCATTAACTTTCAATTAACCATTTTAATCTCAAATTAACCCTTTTTAACTTTTTTAAAATTACAAATTAACCCTTTTTAACAGCAAATCTTTGTGGATTTCAAATTACTTTTCACGTTGAAATTATCCCTTTTTAGTTACAAATTACCCTTTACTTAAAATATTTTTTAAAAAACTTAGACGGTACAAAATTTTAAAAACTTCACAATAACCTTTTTTTTACTCCAAATCTCTTTTTACTTTCAAACAAGCATTTTTTAACTGCAAATTAATCTCTTTTTAATTTCAAATTAACCTTTTTTAATTATAATTTTTTTTAAATTTCAAACAAACCTTTTTTTACTTCAAATGAATCTTTCTAATTTCAAACAAATTTTTTTCTACTTCAAATGAATCTCTTTAATTTTAGATTAACCTTTTTTAATTTCAAATTAACCGTTTTTTCAAACTAACCCTTTCTGCAAAGCATTAAAAATAGAACTTAAAAGATGGTATGAAATATATAAGCGCGATTTTTTGGTTAAATATGGAATAATTGGACTCTTAAAAGACCACATGAAAAGTAATTACCATTAAAATTAAATATAAAAATGATTTTTCTGTTAATTCGAGATTTTTTAAATATAAAATAATTGGTGTATATTATAAGTAGTTTATATTTTTACAAAAATCTCGAAAAAAAGAAACATTAAATTTAATTTTATGGAATTTTTAATTTAAACGTAATTACTTTTCATGTGGCGTTTTAGATAAAAACCAATTTTATATTTTTTTTCAAATTCAAATTAAAAGACGAATCCTTTATTTTTATCTAATTTAATCTCATTTCATTTTCATATGGTATTTTATATAAGCACCGATTTTATATTTTAAAAAAATCTCCAATTAAAAGACGAATCCTTTATTTTTATATAATTCGTAATTTTATTTCATTTTCATATTGTATTCTATGTAAGTACCGATTTTATATATTTTTTTTTAATCTCCCATTTAAAGAAGAATCCTTTATTTTCCTATAATTTTTAATTGTAGTCTTATTTCATTTTCACGTGGTATTTTATATGAGAACCGATTGTATATTTAAAAAAATCTCAAATTAAAAGAAGAATCCTTTATGTTTATATCATTTTTTATTTTAATTAATTTTCATATTGTCTTCTACGAGCCCAATTATTTTATATTTAAAAAAGATCACATTTATACATGGATTTTAATTGACATGTTTATATCTATAAAAACAACATGAAAACAAAGTTTTGTTAAATTGTTGTAAAAATGGTTAATTTGAAATTAACAAAGAAATAATTTGAAATTTAAAAAAGTTAATTTGAAGTTCACAAAGAAAAATGGTTAATTTGAAATAAGAAATTGAATATGAAATTAAAAATTTTTAATCTGAAGTTAAGAAGAGTTAATTTGAAATTAAAAAGGGTTAATCTGAAGTTTAAAAAATGTTAATTTTAAGTTAAAAGAAGGTTAATTGAGAGAAAAAATGTTAATTTCAGTAAAAAAGTGCTAATCTGACGAAAAAAGCTATATTTGCAATTTTTGTTTATATTATTTTGTTTAACTTCGCAAATATCCAGGATTTTGTACATGTTTATATGCCATGTTTAATGCAATCTCCTAAGTTTTTTAATGCTTTAAAGAAAGGGTTTATCTGAAATTAAAAAGGGTTAATTTGAAGTAAAATTGGTTCATTTGAAGGTAAATGGTTCAATTTGAGGTTAACGTGGTTAATTTGAAGTTAAAAAAGTATAATTTGAAGTAAAAAGGGTTCATTTGACGGAGAAATGCTATATTTATTTGGAAGATAGACCTATGTTGAAACTCATCCTAAAACTCGTTAATTACAAGGATTTTTATGCTACGAACAATTAAAACATTAGGAAAAAGACAAGGGTATCCAAAAATATTTATCGACAGGTTAGTTAAAAGAACAAAAAAATTAACTTTAAAAGAAGGGAGAATTCGTCTGAGCCACTCCACCAAAAATAAAACGCTAGGTTTTCGTTGGTAGAAACTAAGCAAGTTTCTAATAAAGTAAGAAAAATACTTAAACTTTCTTCTTTCGAAGCAAGATGATGAGAGATTGTCAAAAAGCGGGTTGATGATTGTAGCATCAAATGCATTGGACAAAGTGGTTAAAGAAATTAAACGAGAGTCAAAAAACACCTGCCTACATAAAAAATCTGAATTCAAAAATAGTTCGAGTGTGGAGCTATCCTTTTCAACTATTAAACAATGATAAACATTTTTGTTTCAAACCTCTTCGCCTTATCTAAATCAATCGAAAACAGCCCATTGTTTCCACAAAGGAGATTATTATAAAAAACAAGCTTTTGGATAAATTATGAGTCAAAAATCGGAGGTGACTCGCTATCGGTTTTCTACGAGTGATAACGATGCGATTATAAAAAATCTATTCGACTTCACAGACAGCATTTGACACAGTAATTCGATATAGGTTAAAGTCCCGGTGCTAATCGATTAGTTTTCCCATAATAGGAGCTTGTCATGCCGTGGCTCTTTACAGAGAGCGTGTAGGCATGCCCTCGAACTTAAAAATGTTTCTCGAGCACAGTTGCGGGTTTCTATGTTCAATGATCCGCTTTTTGGAAGACGTTAGTTTTTATTTTATATAGATTTGTTATGTTTTATTTGGCTGCGAGTATTTATTAGTGTGAGTGGTGAGGGGCTGATGGTGAAATATAGCCATCGCACCTCCAAGTGTGTTCAGGGGTCGATGGCGGAATATCGAGTACTCCACAGACTATTCAGAATGAGTGCAATGGTCATAGGTGTGAATGTATTTATTTGTGCGACTGTGTTATAGAAGTTGGCTAGTTTTGGGCTATATTATATTTTGCACGCGTTGGGAGCTGAAAGTCCTAATCGTTTAGTCGGTACTTCAGAAAGTAACAAAGTTTCAAAATATCAGGCCTAAATTTTCAAAAAGGAGTAATTTTTATACTTTGACTTTGAATCCTCTTAGCCTTCATTAGACAGGCCTTAGACCTGGGGATATTTATATGTCTAATTATATCGACTATATGTTAGGGACGACAATGATTAGTAAGTTTAACAATTTACTCTGCAACTTCCATTAATTTTTGATTGTCGTCCTTTTTCTATGAAATTTTTCTTTTTCTGCCGGGTGTGCTACTGGTGAGGGATAAAAAAATCTCTTTGTACTGCCCTTTTATCCCTTTGGTTTTATAGTTCTCAGCCTTTCATTAAACTTTGCATAACATATGTGTTCTGTCGTTTTGACTTAATCTTTTTAATTGCCTCGGCGGTTTTTCGCCAAAATTCTCTTTCGTACTTCATAGTATGCTAGTTAGTAGTGTACACTTTGGCTTATTTAACTT